AAGTGTATCTACTCACGAGCATAGAGCATTGCTGATCTTGTATGACCAGCTTTGGACCAATTGTGAAAATGTCACATTCCAATAACACGAGCCAGTCCATCCATAGAAGAATCACAGATAACGTGCTCCCAAAGGAGTATTTTGTTGATCCCAGAGGTAGAATAATAAAGTCCAGCCCTTTGTCCATGTTATGCATGGGGTGTGGGTTGTGGGAGTTGTTTGACTATACTTTACCACACTGGTCAGTGTGGGTCGGTGAGAGGAAGGGGCACAGGAACGGTTAATCTATCACTCAATGATATTAGCAGCGGCCGGGAATCAAACTCAGTTTGCTGGGTTCAGAAGCGTAGTGCGTGAACAACTTCACGCCACTTATATTCTTGGTTCTTTCGGTATAGTCACGTAGAATGGAAACAATAAAATATTGTTTTATATTTGTATTATTTTATTGTTTCCCTTCTACGTGACTTTACCGAAAGAACCAAGAATATGAATCCCTGCAGTCACGAAAGCTTTAAATCAAAATTTCACGCCACTTCTTCACAGGAGTACGAAACAACCATGTATTAGTCCTCCAATGTGTTTTTGGATGGTGCCGCATGTTGTACGTCTGTTCTTTCGCTTCATGCTGCCAGTAAGTGGAGCGAAACGTCGGACACCGTGCTGAACAACACGCGATGCAACCCGAAAACATGGGACGGTTGAACAGCACCACTGCAGAAAAATAATCTCTATGGAGTGGTAAAGCAACCATTGAGAGTCACGGATGAGGCTTCTTGGTTGGTGAGTTCACTTGCGGCACCAACGTATTTTCATTACAAGGTGAGCGTCTCGAGTGTCATATCTTGGCGTCGATGGGTGACCAACGCATGACGCCTTAAGTTTCACACCACGCGCTCTTTATTTTTTTTACATGACTGAGAACAGATTTTCCCACGACGTCATTCGCAGAGTTTCCGAGTCGCGTCTCTTTTTTTGTTCCGATACATGCTGTTCATTCAATAGGGAATCAATAAAAACGGACACAGCTCTGTACGTCATTCCAAACAACTTAAAATAATGTGAATAGAAATAAACGTGGTCTTTATATATTTTTTGCACGCGGTCAATACATCCAGGGCTGCCAGTACACGAGAAAGTTATAGGAAGCTGTACTTCATAGCCACAGTACTTGTCAGGCATACGATTTCAGACTTGTATTTCAGACAACTTAAAAATGAGGGCAATAATTAGTATAATCACAAAATGCGTTTCTTTTTACACGGGTAAATGTCGACCCAATTAGGACTGTAATTTAGATAATTTGTCCACCTTAAAAAAGGAGAAAAATGGCCGTGAAATAACCCGGACAATCGGACTTTTTCACGCACGCTGGGATGGCGCATTCAGTTTTCGTGCGTGTATATTTTTTTTAATCCATTGACTTATTCCATGAACGAGCCAGATTTTATGAAGAAAGAAAAAAGTACTTTCAACAGGACACCCCACGTGCGTTATGTTGTTTGTGATGCATTTGAAATGTTGGCTCTTTTAGGCTTCCTAATTTGTGGAGCTGCCTGCCTGTGAACAATCCGTGTGTGACGCTACACCGGTGTTCGCGGGATGTTAAAGAACAACACTGACTGGAGTGGCTTTGAAAAGTGGAAATAGCCCAGCCAAAATAAGACGCAAGTAGAATCATGGTATTTTGGCGTTGAGAAAGTCTAATTATTATTACTGCTACTTCGCGGCGGAAAACCAATGACGGTCCACCGACGTCTTCGGGAGGAAAATACAAAGTTACTTAATATACACGACCTTAAAATACGCACATTTCTATTTATTCATAGAAGCCCAATAACATAGCGAATGCCTCGATGGAGTGTGTAGCCTGTGGGTGGGGGTGTCTTTCTATTTCGTGTTCCATGGGTTGGGGTTGAAGTGGAAGGGGGTTGGCCAATAGAAGTGGGAACCAAGTCACTGTGTGACCGGGACAAAGTGCGTGTGGGGTTTTTTTTTACTACGTCTGGCTCCAGAAATATGAACAGGTGTGGCTATTTCAGTCGTCCACTATGACCACGTGGCTAGCGTTTACGCGGTGGTTAAACCCCCCCCTGGAATGACAGTCACACCTCCTCGTGGTTCTCATTCCTTGCGTCGCGTCTAGTGTGTCAAGTCAACCCATACGGGTTACCCGCATTCTTGTAGAGGGAAATTGAAGTGTTCAGGTCCATACGGCGTGCAGCCGTTTCAATACGGGCAAAACAAATGTCTATACATGTTCGTGTCTCTCCCTTGCGATGAGACTTTGTCGGGTGAAGGTTGAGATTTATAAGGGCACGGGGTGACCATTAAGGTCTGAATTGGTCTGTAATAACTACACTACTATACACTACACTCCATTATACACTACACTACTATTAACTACACTCCATTATACACTACACTACTATACACTCCATTATACACTACTATACATCACACTCCATTATACACTACACTACTATACACCACAATTCATTATACACTACACTACTATACACTACACTCCATTATACACTACACTCCATTATACACTACGCTCCATTATACACTACACTACTATACACTACACTCCATTATACACTACTATACACTACACTACATTATACACTACTATACACCACACTACTATACACTACACTCCATTATACACTACACTCCATTATACATTACTATACACTACACTCCATTATACACTACTATACACTACACTCCATTATACACTACTATACACCACACTACTATACACTACACTACTATACACTACACCCCATTATACACTACACTCCATTATACACTACTATACACTACACTCCATTATACACTACACTCCATTATACACTACTATACACTACACTCCATTATACACTACACTCCATTATACATTACTATACACTACACTCCATTATACACTACACTCCATTATACACTACTATACGCTACACTCCATTATACACTACACTCCATTATACATTACTATACAATACACTCCATTATACACTACACTCCATTATACATTACTATACACTACACTCCATTATACATTACTATACACTATACTCCATTATACATTACTATACACTACACTCCATTATACAGTACACTCCATTATACACTACTATACACTACACTCCATCATACACTACACTCCATTATACATTACTATACAATACACTCCATTATACACTACACTCCATTATACATTACTATACACTACATTCCATTATACATTACTATACACTATACTCCATTATACACTACTATACACTACACTCCATTATACATTACTATACACTACACTCCATTATACAGTACACTCCATTATACACTACTATACACTACACTCCATTATACACTACACTCCATTATACATTACTATACAATACACTCCATTATACACTACACTCCATTATACATTACTATACACTACACTCCATTATACATTACTATACACTATACTCCATTATACACTACTATACACTACACTCCATTATACACTGTACTCCATTATACACTACTATACAAGACATTCCATTATACACTACTATACACTACACTCCATTATACATTATTATACACTATACTCCATTATACATTAATATACACTACACTCCATTATACATTACTATACATTACACTCCATTATACACCACTCCATTATACATTACTTTACACTACACTCAATTATACACTACACTACTATACACTACATTATACACTACACTCCATTATACACTACACTCCATTATACACTACACTGCTATACACTACTATAGTTGTCAACCCATACGGTTTAACCCCGTATTCTTGTACAGGGAAATTGAAGTGTTGAGGTCCATACGGCGTACAGCCGTTTCAATACGGGCAAAACAAATGTTGTCTATACATGTTCGTGTTTCTCCCTTGCGATGGGACTTAGCGGGGTGAACTTTGAGATTTATAAGGGCACGGGGTTGACCAACACGGTCTGAATTGGTCTCTAATAAAGTAGGCGCTGATAAGGAGGAGTTGACAGGTTTGGTTACCGGCGTTCCAGTCCACGTCCTATTGCTTTATTTGAATAAGTGCCGGCACGCTCGTTGTAATAACGCTTGTTGTCAATCCACTGCTGGATGGAGGAGGCCTCCGTTACGAATTGTCGGCCATCGGGATTGTTTCACCATACTTCACCACAGTGGTCACTGCAGATTTGTGCAGGGGTGAGGGGGGGGTAGGTTGGCCTAGGAGCGGTCGAGAAATGAATGAAAAGCACTTCAAATCGACGGCGGTGTGATGCACGGGGTTCGATCCCATTGGAATGTTTGCGATGGCAACATTCGAAACAACGCTCCAACATTCTGAACCCCCCCATATCCTTTGGTTTTATTCGGTAAAGCCGCGTAGATAAAGTAAAAGCAAAACAAAAGAAAACAATTGTAAACATTAATTGTTTTCTTTTATTTTGTTTTATTTTATCTACGCGACTTTACCGAATAAAACCAAAGAGTATGAATCCTTGCAGTTTACGAATGCTTCAAATCTAGAATTCTGAACCCAATTCCCCCTGCGCAAAGCCGCCTCTTGGCTACTCAGCCAAGTAAATGCGGTTAGTAAGAAAGTAAGAGGACTTTTCTAAAAGTACAAAAAAAATCGCAGCTTTTGCGATTTGCCAATCGAATAGGTTTTCAGATTAATCGATTTTAAATCGATTAATCGTTAAGCCCCCAGTGCCCAGGGGACAGAGAGCCCTGACATGGAACCAATTGGCAGCCCACTTGCTCTTAAGGATGACCGCCGTTGTTGCTGCTGGTTAATTTGCAATTACTTGACGCGTGTTCGCTTGGGGCCTTGAAGATTAACTAAAACAAAACAAAAAAATAATATTTTGTTTGTGTTATGCATAAACATTTTTTAGGATATTAATTTTTCAAATGCATCTTTTAAACATACGCCAATTGTTAAGGTCACTGTGTGTGCGCGCGCGTTACATAAAGTAAAGAATAAAGTAGCCTCTTTAAGAGGCCTGGCGTCTCGGTTTGAGTCCCAAACGCAAGAGCGGTGTGGTTAATCTTGGTCGACATCATTCCACGCACAATACGCTAATGATTATTAATTTGAATACTTTCTAGCTATTATAATCGTTTTCGTTGGTATCAACACGGAACTATCATCAGGTAAGCCGCAAATGTAATAACGCTTCCCATCGCGCTGAGCCCTATTGCATAGTAAGAGCAGTACGAGTAGCTCGCTATACTGTACATTTGTTATATATATAGAACTTTACATGCTTACGTAACGTTTTACGATAAAATGTCAAACCGTAACATGTTTAGTGTTCCGAATGTAATTGTTTATCTTACGTGTGCTGAGCAAATTTCGCCGCTGTGGATATGTTACGTGTACCAACGTTTGAATGCGATTGATGTTACAGACAGTAAAATTGCTCTGTTTATATAGGGTTCTTTTAGTTCTTTGTTTAACCTCGCATTGACGTTGTATTTGTCTGTCTGTGCCGCTTGGGTGAGACTTGAACTCATGGGGTTTTAAAGTTGTACACGTTCAAGTCCCGCCAGAGCTAGATATAAACAGCTTCTAAGTGTCAACGAGCTGTTATGTACAGGGTGGTCAAGATGTCTTGTGACCCCCCCCACTCACCGCCTCATTTCATTCTCTAAAACTTAATCCTTTTTTTAAAGTAAGGTTTATTTAAACAAATTAATAAGCAAAGGAAATATATATGTGTTAGGGTCAATTAATTGGGCGTCACAAGACATCTGGGCCAACATGTACAGTACTGGAATGCTTCCCATTTATTTTGTACATTTCACAACTGAGATGAGAGGGCAATTTGAAGCAACAACTCTCTTAAGGATGGGGAACCGGTATGAACATGCATGGTTATATCAAGGGAAATATTGTACAACGTTTTAGCGGTCCAACAATGTTCAAAAAATAATTGTTACGTTGCCTGCATCGGTGTCTTGTCTGCAAAAGTGTGTCAGTTTTCAGATAATTATTGGTTTCAATTATTTTTAAGTGATACAGGACAAAATTTAGATTGAAAGCTTTCGTGACTGCAGGGATTAATATTATTGGTTCTTTCGGTAAAGTCACGTAGAAGGGAAACAATAAAATGATAAAAATATAAAACAATAAAATTCTCACAACGTTTCGACTGCAACACAAGCAATCATCATCAGGTGTGAAACAAAGAAAATTTTCTTGCTGTGGGTTTCACACCTGATGATGATTGCTTGTGTTGCAGTCGAAACGTCGTGAAAATTTTATTGTTTTATATTTTTATTATTTTATTGTTTCTATTCTACGTGGTGACTTTACCGATAGAACCAAGAATATGATACAGGACTACCGTTTATCGTTAAAATAATACAATTGCGAGCGTATTAACCCCCACTGGACGCGTGCATCGTGCGAATTCAATGCACGCGCTCACTGTGGCGAAATGTGTGCATGCGTTTACCAAAGTAATTCAATACGCTTGTGTGTTTTTTTTAATTCACATTGTCGTGATTCTCATAAAGATTATTTGCGGCGCTGGGGTGGACTAGGGTAGTGGACACGGCAGCACAGTGGTTCGTGAACTGTGCTGTGAAGCCGGCCAGTCGAGTTCGATTCCAGACCACGGCTAATATCGGTGGACCGGTCCTGGGCTTTCAATTCACCATCCGGCACTGACCAGCGTGCTGAAGCATGGTCAGACAACTCCCATGACCGGCACGGTGTGAGGGGAAGCCTTCATACAGCAGCCGCTTTACAAAGCGTAGTTTATTCAGAAGAAAGCCTCCTCTGTTAGTGCCATCACAACATTTTAAAAGCAGTGTCCGTAATGTATATGGATCACCGTACTTGTACAATACTTGTCCACAATATGTCGCTGCGATGTCATTTGTGACCAGTGGGCAGGTGCGGCTTGTGGCTCAACGTTGCTCCGCATGCAAGATTCAATGGAATTGGCAGAAGCGCTTTGCTCCGTGTTGGATAAAGTCAGGGCAGCCACTGCCCGCAGGCCAATTGTAAGTCGCCCGCCTTGTCCGGCCCTTCGATCCTGTCACTGCACCTGATGTCCGTCCCACAGTTGACCAGTTGCCAAGGCTGCGTGGGTCACCACAGCTGACCGTCCTGCAATGGCCTTCCCGCTATCTCTCGTCCTTCTGCTTAATAATGCGTATTTGTGTCTGCGATGATGAAGCTACGCCATTCTGTGATTTTTTTTATTTTATTTTGCCATAGCACTGGTACACTTTTCTCTAGTTAATTAACATAATATCTGTCATAGTTTCTGCTGGCCTCTGTTATTTGTTTTCCTTCCATTTTACGGAATGTCTAGTTTGTCCAGGTTTTTCCCCCCATCGCACCTAGCTATGTGTCAATAATGATTTTCTGTCTGTCTTTATATTATGGTGCACACTCTTGCATTTTCGCAAATCTCTTTCAGTAAACTTGCATTGGTCCTTATTGCCATCCATGGAGCCACACAAGTAGTCTTTTTCCGGCACCATTGTTCACAAGTTGTGATCTTTCTGTCCGCTGCATGGATCACCCGTGTCTCACATGCGCCCGTTGCATTCAGAAAAAACAAAACTGTGTTTTAACTTAGCCTGATTTTTTTGCGACTGGAATGGTGCGGGCAACTAAATAGCTTGAGTGATTAAGTGAACACAGATGAACTCGTAAGCTTTTGCTTCCCTAAGTCAAATGTTACATTATTTCCCCACTCGGAAAAAAGGGGTATATAGTGTGACAAGAATGCGGTCGCTGGTAACTGATATAATTTTGCGCCGTCAGTAGCATTTCATTGATGTGTAACTCTTGTGCAAAAACCCCAGTTGCCTCACCCGTTGCCTTCATGCTCAGGTTTAAACGAAATGAGATTTTTTTTTGTTCACGCGATGGCAGCTGCGTGAACTGAAGCTGTCTGACCACAATGCCGTGAAATGCCTTTCGGATCGTAGCGGGAGGTTTCTCTCATTTGGTGGGTGGATTTAGAGGAGGGAAAATCGTACATAAATATGAAATGTTTATTGTGTTTGAAGAATGCTGAGAGCATTGCTGTTTAAGCATCAATTGCAGGTTTAGAATGGGGTTATACATTTTGGTGATATTGATTTGTAAGGCTCACGATACATGCATTGAATATCGGTATAATAATCAATGTTTATCTACTTGTGCAGTTATGTGGAAATTATATTCCTATTTTATATTCATGCTAGTGGAACAAACAAACTTTACAAACTAGGTAGAATAAACAAGGAACGTTATAAACCATATGAGAAAAGTTAGACGAAAAAAAGCTCAATCAATTCTTAAATAGAATCGTTGTCCTGAATCTCAACAATACATTTGAGTTATTGGGGGCAATGAATCATTACACTCCCGAGTGCACATATTCCCCGGCAAGCGAGCATCTCCCCCCCCACCCGACACCACATATCACGGGTTCCTCCGTGACTTTTTTTTGTTAATCCGACAGCATCTCCCAGACACTCTCCCATGCCTGGTGGCGGTGAGCAAGACCAAGCCGGCGGCCATGGTGATCGAGGCCTACAAGCACGGGCAGCGTCACTTTGGTGAAAATTATGTACGTGGGCACGTCTGACCTCTCGCCCTCGCACTGCTTGATCCCAAATCTGTCTGTCTGCGTCAAGTAATGTGACACAATTCCATGTCGAAATTCACCGTCTGCTTTTAATGAATTACAGGCGGGTTCAGTCGGGTATTGAACTGTGGCAGTTATGAAACGTTGAAGTCACAGCTGTTATCAATCTTGCAGGTTCAGGAATTGGTAGAAAAGGCATCGGATCCCCAGGTATAGTAGATTCATGAATGTGTGTGCACGATGTACTAAAAATAGCTATTTTTTATTGTCCTTAATATGCATGTATATGTATGTTTAACTTATTTTACGCTGTACGTAGCCAACTGTACTAATCGAAGGTGGGGGAAGTACACCACAAATCAGTTCTAAAGAAATGAGTTTTCAACCTAGATTTAAAAGTGTGTAGCTCCAGTGGCTTCCTAATATCCGAAGGAAGAGTGTTGCGGATGGCTGCTGGAGTGCATCTGAAAGCGCCGGGCGATACAGTGACTATCTTCGTAAGTGCTTGCCTTTGAGGTTAACACCGAGTCCCCTCTTGCAGGTTCGGTCGCAATGTCCTGAGATAAAGTGGCATTTTATCGGCCACCTACAGAAAGGCAATGTCAACAAGCTCGTGAGTAAGTGTCCTGTTACCTTCAGATAATTCTAAGTATATCTCTGGCACAGGAATGTTAAATGGTGCATCGTTAAGCTGGAGCGTATTGTGTTTTATGTCGCCGTTTCAACACTTATTAAAAACGTACATGTACACCGATTTTGTCAATCCACAATTGGATGAGTGCCTCGCCGCGTCATGTAGATCTTGGGGGTTATTTGAGCATACTTCACCGCGCTGGTCAGTGCGGGTTGGTGAGCATAAATGCGGGACCATGGGAGTACATTACAACAATGGATTTTGTTGCACCACTCTCTTCTGCCCACAATGTAGCCCAATTACTGTATTTTCCCGCATATAGCTCGCATACGCATATAACCCGCATACGCATGTACCCTGCAAAAATAGCGTTTTGTGGAAAACAAATTCCAGATAGCCCGCACCTCCATATACCCCGCATGCATTCATCTATTTAACGTCGTTACCGCAGCTTAATTCCATCATATTAATACGAAGTTTACATTTGTAATAATTCCACTATCAATTGTTAACATTAAAATCATAACGTGCACAAAGAAAACAAACTAACCGGAAACGAGTGAACTTAAAACAGTAAATACGTAACAAAAGTAAATATCCAATAAATAAGTAACATAACTGTAAGTAGTTTTAGCACTGGTAGATTGCGCACTGCGCAGGCAATAGCGGCACTACGGTGACGCCGTTGCCTCGCCCCCAACCCCCACCTCTCTCTCCCCCCAGTTGCCCCACCCCCCAACCCCTACCTCTCTCTCCTCCCAGCTCTCCCGTCGCCGGTAAACAGTGCGCGCACTTCAAACATTGTCGTTTAATTGTACAAACAATTCATTTAAAACGTTATAACATGTGCAATTTTAGTGCGAGTGGTTTATTCAACAAAGGTAAGTGTTGCATAGTGGATAGTCCTACCATGAAAAAATTTAACGAGTTATGACATGTCACACGTGTAAAATATTTTCGGGATAGCCTGCATCTCCATATACCCCGCAGGGTCTTGTTTTGTTTGTAAAAAGTGGTATACCCCACGGGTTATATGCGGGAAAATACGGTAAACATGTTTGTGCATGTTGGTCATCCATCCAAGCACTATCCAGGTTAAAACCTGCTTTGCACTGAGATCTGATGGGATCCGGTGCATTCCGGGTGATTTTTTCATGGTGCATCCAAAATGTATGCAGTTATATTCATGGCTGCAGTTTACTTGCACAATGCCTTCATTGATATATTGCTACAACCTATGATTCATGTTTTGCTTTTTTAACGCAGCTACGCCAAACCTGTACGTTGTGGAGACTATTGACTCGATCAAGCTCGCTGAACGGGTAAATGCTTCCTGGCAGAAGAAAAGCTCGGAAAAGTTAAAGGTCATGATACAGATCAATACGAGCAGTGAAGACAGTAAGTAAGCTTCGACAACTCTTCCGAAATCCAGTTTTGGTTACGTGTTCTTCAGACCATGGTAACTTGGTGCAGAAGGTATTGGTGGATCGCAAGACCAGGGGAGATGATGACTTGGGGAAGTCTTCATCCAGCAGTAGATAGATCATGGTTGATGATCTTGAATATTATTTTAATTTTAAACGCAAATCATGTTTGCATCCCCATTTATAGTGGTATTTTATGTTACAACAGCTGTAGACTATAACATAGGGTTTTTGCGGTTGTGCTTAACAACCCCGCCTGTTGTTAGGCACGATGTCCAATGGTTCACTCCATGTGTAGTGACATCGCGGGATGTCACTGTGTAGTGCCGGCCCTAGAGAGGCACGGCTTGCGATGTAACGACATCACAGACACCACAATGGTGTCGGTGTAGTACCGGCCCTAGAGGGGCTTGGTGAGCGCTGATTGATAGCGCTGGATGGCATCACGCTTGGCGTGCAGTGCCAGCCCCTACAGGACAGGGTGTATGAGTGCCGGCCGTAGGAATGAGGTTACTAAAGGCCATGGCACTCTGGTTGACCCGAGAGGACACGTGACCAGTTAAGTCTACAAAGGGGCCCCAAGTGGGGGCTAGGGGTGGTCACGTGGTCGGGGTCCAGATCCTGCTCGAGGATTCTGGAAGGTGGTCGTGGCCAAGGACGGAGCCGGCCACGCCGCAGAGGATATAAGCCGGGTCCCCCAGTGGGACCGGTGTTGTTGTTCATCCTGAAGAAACCTTCGTCTATGTTCAACGTTCTCCGAGTCTCCAACACGTGGACCTGGACCCGAGCTGGGGTCCCGATCCATAGTAGCTAGTTACGTTGTAATTAGTGTAGTTAGCCTGGTGGTCACCACCATAGGTTGTTATTCTGTTAAGGGGCAGTTATCCCGTGTGTTGGTGTTAAATAAATGTGTTGCCTCCAAGAGTACGTCTGCAACTCAGTTGAACTCACTACACATGTAACAGGGCTTCCCCGTTACACCTCAGAGAGCTGTAAACTGTAGTATTGTTTTAACCCTTTTTTTGCTGTTACCTTTAAGGCAAACATGGGCTGCCACCTAAAGACACCGTGGACACCGTAAAGCAAGTCTTAGAAAAGTGCACTGGACTAGAGTTCTTTGGATTGATGACAATCGGAATGTATGGACATGACCTGTCCCAGGGACCCAACCCAGACTTTCAGGTAACACCTACGGAATGTGTCTTACACAAACTTCCTGTTGCATATTAAAGTTATATAAGAGTTCAGTTGTAGATTTGAAATGAGCTGAATTTGAGCCAATGTATTACACAAAACAGGCTTTCAGCAATAAAACACGAGTGTTGCCCGTGTGCTATTAATTATGATACGTGTGTATGTGCACCTCTGTTTGGAACAGAAATTGTTGGCTTGCCGTGTCAACGTGTGTGAGAAGCTTGGATTGAAGCCTGAGACCATTCAAATGAGCATGGGGATGTCAGGAGACTTTGAACATGCGGTAAGAGGGTACCTGTCACGCCATGCACAGTTGTTTTCCTTTAAATGCTCGCACATGCCCCGTCCTACTTGCGAATCACAAATCACGCACAGAGAACAACTGTAATAAGGCCGAGTGCACGTGTTCAAAAATCGCACCCCAGGTTCTTGCGTATTTTGCAGAGACAAATGTTGTGGTCTTTTGCTTCTGTCAGATTGAAGTCGGGGCCACGAGCGTCCGGGTTGGCAGCACGATTTTCGGAGAGCGTGACTACGGAAACAAGGGAGCGAACAAAGGTAGCGACGGAGAGGAGGAGAGAGGTTCTGCCGGAAGATAAAACCAAACTCCCACCATGCCGTCATGGAACCTTGCTGTTTCAGAACAGTGCTGGACTAGAGTGCTTGCTATCGCGGATTTTGGGCGCTTTAAAGATGCGGTAACAATTGTACGATTCTTTGGCTTTAAAGCGTTTGCACTTGGGCATGATGTTGTTGCTTTTGCTGGAAGTTTGAAAACAATATGCAGGCTGCCCATTGATATCACAAAACACTCGAATAAGTTGAAATTCATATATTAGAAATTAGCATACGATTAATAATCTGTGAAGTAGTACATTCACAAAGCCATTATTATAGTCATATTTAGAGTCACCGCTCCATTGTGGTTCGTAAATTTCAATTTACTGAGTAAATTATAAAGATATGCTTTTGTTAGTTAGGTGTGAATTTTACACTTTGCTAAACACTACAAGAGCATGTGTTTCTATATGTTGTCATTCTGATTGTTTAATATTTCCTAGATTTATAGCGTTCGCAGGATCCAGTCACTTGAGTTTCCAGTTGCCTTGCAGTGAAACTCACATTTTGAAATATTCTGGTTGATTTTCAATGATACCGCCAGGGTTGTTTACTTCAATAAAAGTTTTATGCATTACCAAGATTATAATTGTTGATTTTTCAATTTAAGTCTTCAAAGTGCACACAATTGGTGAGCTTTCTAAGGTATCAATTATACATTCTTACGTTAGTGTTTTTCACATCTGCACGTACTTGTGCCCACATTTTTGTTATTTTTAAAATACTTCCATCAAAACAGAATGCTTCATTAACACGTTTGAGAATTTAACAAAAAAATAAATGCAAATTCCAAGGCAGACGTTGTAACTCCGAAGAAACACAATGCATCACTCCCATGCATAAAACTGGCACAAGAGGATTACGCTGCTCAGTGGAGTAGTTGAAGATTAACCCGGGTTAGAGTCGACCATAAAAATGTGCTTTAGGTTGCAAAATGTTTATATCGTCATTGAGTGTCACACTTGGAAGTGATTGTGTAAAATCAACATAGGTCTTTAGTTGTAATGCAATAGACCTGAATGAAAAAAATATTCTTATTTATATACAGTATTGGAGATTGGTAGTGCCAGTGGGTTGAATTGTAGGTATACTTTGCAAAAGTGCATGTTTTGTCTGACTCACTTATGGATCTGAATGACTTCACATGTGATTGTGCAACTTCATCTTCTGGGGCTGTTGTTTTTCCACTGGCCGGGTGCACTGCTCGCTGCGAGAGTTCGGAATGGATAATGTATTTGTCTCATGATATTGCACTGAAAGCGCATTGGAATATAAACTGAGCATTGAGACGGTGCTCATCGCCTACTTACAGCCCTGAGCCAGTGGTGGAAATTCCCCATTCCTATGGCCAAAGCTAGTCTATCCACAGGACAACCACTGTTGACTCTTCCTGACAAAGTGGAATTTATTTTATCTACTCCAAAGGGATGATGCGCTAAGCCAACCCCCGACCAGGATTTGTACTAACCTTCCAATTGCGAACGGCTTGCTCCACCACTAAGCTAACTGGCAACGATATTGCGGTATATAATACATTTTTATCACATCCCGTTATCAATCCACTGCTGAAGACCTTGCCACGCCATATCGGTCATGGGGATTGTTTGACCATAATTCACCATGCTTGGTCAGTACAGATTGGTAAAGGAGGGGGCCAGTGCTCAGGACCGGTTCTGGTATTGCTCGCCACTGATGTTATCTGACTGGAAATAAACATCGGTTTGCTGATGTTGTGGTGTAATGCACCAACTACAGAGCAATCGCTTCTTTTCACATTGGTGTATAACGGGGAAATAGATGTTAAATTATACAAACTTTTTGCAGAAGATTCCTCAGAGCTATGCCGCAAGTCTGTGTGAGCAGGTACTTTTCAGTCAGTCACAGCATATGTAGGGAGGAGACGGCACACATTCTGTAAGAATGGATCTTCACGATGTTGATGCCATTTGAAGGTTGGGTGGACCCAGGACGGTGGCATTTCACTTGCCAGGTAGAGTCGTCTTTTACTCTGTACTGTACAAATCTCACGGTTCCCCTTCTGATCACAGCTGTTAGAGATGCACCATTTTCAAACTTATCAGGTCTTTGCTCAGGACCCAGTATACATATTCCTGGACCACGTTGTGTACATTGTTAAGGTCAGGGCAGAATAAATATTTATTTAAATGCGAACAATGCATTATCAGCTTAAAATTATCCTTTGACATTATAAGTTAAAGCCAATACATTTATATTTTGACCAAGGTAAAGAAGTTTGTTGAGTTTTGAAAGTAATATAACATTTAACGTTTAATCTGCTTTTCAGGTGAATGTTTTACGTTGGCGTTTGTTGAGATTTTGGCTATTGAGTTTTGATGACCGTCATGTAATGGAAATTTGCCAATCTTACTTTTAAATAGCCAATTACAACCACATCATGGGACCTGTTACTCAAGCATTGAATGTCTCCCAGGGAGCAATACATGTGTAATGATACACTCAGAGACACTAGGAATAGGAGGCACTCTATTATAGCCTTTACAGGGTACAAGGGGTGACTGCACTTTCAGTCAGAACAGCTAACCGACTGACGAAGACTCCAGCAGCTCGACGGGATTCCACTCCAAACAACAGCCCCGAACCTTCGCTCGGGGTCCCCTTTTATCCTCCTGGCTTGGCCTCGCTCCGCTCCCGGCCACACCCCCCTTCTGGAACCGACTAGTGAGTTCCCGGGCTTATCTCACGTGTCCCCTCACCTTTGCCCTTATCACGTGACCTGCTGATAGGGCTGCTGCAACCGCAGATCCCTTTCCCTGCCAGTAACCAGCGTCATGCTCCATAGTGACCCATTCCCTGTCACTACATCACCCCCCCTGTAAAAAAAAAATCGACAGCCACAGCCCGGCTCGCGTCTGCGGCCACCCGCCAGACGGCGTCGGGACTAAATAGAACAAGAGGAAGGGAGCTATCTGAAACGAACAGTTTTGGAACGGGTCCTCATCGCTGGGCCCCCAGGCGGAACAATAATGGGTTTCCTGGGACCCCCCCGGGACGATTTGTAAATGGCCTAATGGGCGCGGCCCCTCCCGGGAAAAAGAAGAAGCGAATGGCGGCTGTTACGTCATCCCTGGTCCGTCTGCGGACAGCGCCGCCGGTGGTTCCGCGGGTGTCAGGCGCTGGGATCCTGTAGGCAAAAGAGTCCCGCTGAGGTGCACCCTCCACGACCATACGCCCGGCCTCGTCGGACACATCAAACACCCGGCCTTCAGGTAGTGGGGATGAAACGACATCACAAGGTGGGAAATAGGGTTTCAGCCATGATAGGTGCACATACCAATGCCTGCGACCGACCTGGATCGCACGCACTGCGGCCTCCTGACCTCAATCACCTCAACCTGCCATGGCCTGTGCAATTTAAGGGACGTGCCCAGGGGCACCTGGGGGCAATGCAGCCACGTCTTGTCCCCAGGGTTCCATGGGTTTCCGGATCCACGGAGTCCCGCACGCTTTTCATTGGTGGCTTGCTGTTTGGCCGAATTACCCCGAGACGCCTCCCGTGCTTCCGTCAGCCGCCTGATTGTAAGCTGCATGGGCATGGGCACAGTGACCTTTTTGCCCAGATCCATGTTCAACTGAGCCTCCATGGGGGGATCACATTCCCTTCCATACATGAGGAAAAAGGGGGAGAACCCAGTTGAGGCGTGAGGGGCCATTCTGTACGTGGCGAGAACACCCGGAACGTGCAAATCCCAATCGGACTGCGCCTCGTTGACCTGTTGGCACAGCATGGACGTGAGAGTCCTGTGCAAGCGCTCCACGATCCCGTCAGTCTGGGGATGGTAGGGCGACGTGCGGATCTTTTTAGTACCCAGGGAGTCGCACACCTCCTTTCATAATTTGTAAGAATAATTGCGACTTTGGTCTGTAAGGAGACGTTCTGGGGCTCTTTTATCTAAAACATAGCCATGTAAGAATGCGTCCGTGATGGACGCGGCCGACTGATCCGGCAAAGGCCATGCCACCGGCCAACGGGACAGGTACTCAACCCCCACGAGCAAAAATTAGTTTCCCCTCGGAGTGGTGGGAAATGGGCCGAGGATATCGAGAGCAGCGAGCTCGTTAACACGGGATACCTTGATGGATTGCAACAGTGGCCGGGCCTGCCTCGGCAGGGGTTTTCGTCGAGCGCACTCAACACAACCATTAAGCATGTGGTGTATATCCTCTGACATTCCGGGCCAAAACAAGTCGCGCTTCAGGGTCAATAAGGTTTTCCGCACCCCAAGTGCATCAACCTCACATGGACAGCCCACGTAATTCTACCCCTCAGAGCAGTTGGCACGACGATGCAGTAACCCTGCACCTCCTCATCCCACCTCATCAGCAACCCATCTCGGAGGACCATGAGGGACATTCCCGCTGGCCCCTTTTTACCACCCTTCGTTCCGACGCGACTCCGCAATTTTAACAGGGAGGCGTCCCCATTCCGCGTGCGTGAAACCAATCGTGTTGTCGCAGGGAACGGTTGCTTCGGGTGGTAAAATGTCAACCGACGCTACGACAGTGCACGGCAATCCTGCAACCACAGGTTTACATCGGCCGGGACCCATCAAACACGCAGTTTGGCTTCTCGGTGGAAATCGTGACAACGCGTCCGCATTACAGTAACGTGTACCTTTCCTGTAGGTGTAGTTACCCCTTGTACCCTGTAAAGGCTATAATAAATAGAGTGCCTTCTATTCCTAGTGTCTCTGAGTGTATCACTACATTTGGATTCAGATGTGTTAAATACATTTTTTTGTTATATATCTAGAAATTTTGTATTTTATTTAAAAGTTACAATGTCGAAGTCGACTAAGAAGAAGGCTCCTACCATTGTGTCCTCGGGCGAAGAGGACGACGGAGAAGCGATTCCCCCGACAGCCCCGGAATCCAGGACCCCGGAGATTGGTCCTGAGGAGGCGATCCCCGCAGAGCAGCGTGTGAGGGACGACTCCTCACTGCCGCCGACCGGAGAAGGATGGCGCGGAATAATCTCGTAAAATTTCCAACAAGCGGGAGAGCTGGCTGGACGGCTGGTCAACCCGCAGCGCATATTGAAGAGCCGTGTGATCTGTGCGCACAACAAACTGTCTCCCGTAAATGTACAGACGGTAATGTTGTACGAAATTTGCAATAGCCAATAATTTGCGGCGCGTCACACAACGCTGCTCTGCGGGGAACAGTACACGGCTCCCGTAAGCTACGACCTTCTTTACCGCGTTAACCACCTGTGATAGCACAGCATCGATTCCGGTGTCGCTGGCGTCTGTGTCCAGCACAAATGGTAAAGAAAAATCGGGGTACCCAAGCGGAGGTGCGTTAACGAGGCAGTTGCGTAGTGCGACAAATGCGGCCTCCTCCTCCTCCCCCCACTTAAATCTTTGGCCTTTTGCGGTGAGAGCGTGGAGCGGTTTTGCGATTGTTGCAAACTTGATTACAAAGCGGCGGTAATACGATGCGAACCCGACAAAACTGCGAACTTCACCCACCGACTTGGGGGTTGGCCATGTGCACACGCACGCAGTTTTGTCGGGGTCCGCGGCTATCCCGGACTCGCTGAAAATGAGACCCAAGTAGCGAACCGATGTCTGCAAGAGATGACACTTCTGCGATTTGAATTTAAGATTGGCCGCCCGCACTTTGACAAACACCGATCGCAACCTCTGCAGGTGCTCCTGGAACGTGCGTCCGAACATGATCACATCGTCCAAATAAATAAGGCACAAGTCCCATTGGAGGCCTGCTAAAACCAACTCCATAAGTCGCTAGAACGTGGCCGGAGCGGAGTGGAGTCCCATTGGGAGACAATTAAATTGAAACAGACCCTGAGGTGTTCGGAACACGGTTTTATATTTGGAGCTCTCATCCAGAGGCAACTGCCAAAACCCTGACAGCAAGTCGAGGGTGGAGAAAATCGTGCACCTGACAGGGCGTCCAATGAGTCGTTCATCCGTGGGAGTGGGTATGCATCCGCCACAAAGACATTACATTTGCGGAAATGTACATAAAACCGCAAACTCCCATCATACTTTTAAACAAGAACAGTGGGAGCTCCCCACGGACTGGTGGAAGGGGAGATAATATCGGTGACCAACATCTCGCCGACCGCCTGGCGAACATGGTCCTTCTCCTTGGGACGAAGTCAGTATGATTTTGGCGTATAGGAGCAGCGCCACCCGTATCGATGTGGTGCTGCATCAGGGACGTGCGGCCAATGTCATATTCACCCTGACTAAAAATGTCAGAAAATTCCAGGAGCAATGCACGCAACTCTTCCCGCTGCTCGCTGGATAATTCAGAATTCTCACTGCACAGTGCATCCATCCAAGCCTCATCCGGCTCGCCTCCCCGCTCCACCGCGGCAGCGACCTCCGTGGTCACATCGCTGGCCTCCTCGCAACATGTGGCCATCGCGTGGGCCAAAACTGTACCCGCCTGGACAACCGCGGCACCCAGCCCAACGTTCAACACCTGCAGCAACGGTTCCTGGCCCCCCTTAACTATTGTCTGGGCCCCCACCAACGTGAGACCTCGAACCGCTCTATTCGAAGGGGTAAAAAGAACCCCTCCTCAGATGAACCCCTCCTCAGATGCTGGTGCCCTTGCAGCTGCAAGGGCACCAGCATCTGAGCACCGGGAGGGACTGTGACGGTCTCCTTCACGAGGGCCTGAACCGTGGCGTTGGCCCTTCGCAATCGAGTCAGGGATGTTAAAAACGCCAATCGACGCCCCGACAGCAGCTCAATACACCCGTGGTCCACCAGAATCTGAAGGGCCATCCTTCCCAGAAAATCAGTCCCCAACAGACAAGGCACAGCCAACGTCTTCGAGACTAACACTGGGCCCATCAATTCAATGTCCCCGATACGTACTGTAGTCTATATTTGGCCCACAATACCCATACTCCCGCCATTAGCGGTGACACACGACCTATTTACCGGATTGAGACAACACAATTTCGACGGTAAGGATTTATTAATAAATTCTGAAATAATGCTAGCGGATGCTCCCGTGTCGATGAGCTCGACACCCTGTACAAACTCAACAACCGCGGAGGATCCCGCCGCCGCCACCACGATACGGTGCACCAACGCGGTCCATTGCCCCAGCCCCCGCAGTCATCCACCCGCCGAAGTCCGAATTTCACGTGCCGCGACATGATGAGGAGTGGCGGTGTGTGAACCCGACATGGTCTGAGATGAAGGTGCGTGAAGTGACTGTGTCGGCCGAGTGTGTGGTGCATCGTGACTTGCCTTTGGAACCGGAGAAGCGGAAGTCGGCAGGGCGGGAGATGGCGAGGGCGGGAGAACGGTCCAGGGTCAGCGCGGCATCCCTTGGAGATGTGGCCCCGCAGGCCGCACTTAAAACAAGTGACGGGGGACCTCCACGGTGGGGGGGGGGGGGGGGGGGGGGAGTTCTGCTCCCTCGTTGTAGGTTGAAATGGGCTTGGATGCATCGAGCTACCTTAAGCGAAGTCAGGTCGTCTTCCTCCGTGGCAGACAGAAAAACGCTCATCTCCTGGGCCAGCGACAGCAGTCTCTCCAGCACCAGAGAATCCAGCGCCGCCTGCTCCATCTTCGCATCACGAACTTCCGATGCGCGTTGGACGGCGGGTTTCAAAATTGCTATTTGGGCGTACGCTTGAGGCAGCGTCGCCCTTTCCGCTGGGGAGATGGCATCGAATGCCGCCAAGGAGTCGTCATCCACGGTGGTGGGAAGTGCTCGTAGCCCCACGAGGGCGCAAGCAGCGGCGAAACGGCGCTGAAAGGCTGTCCAGTCGCCCCACCCAGCTACAAACTCCTTCACAAACGGCAGCCGCTTCTTTAGGGAAGGCACCTCTGGGCGATACTCCGACGGCAGGTCAAATTTGGCAGGAAGCGATTCCTGCCCAACCGACAAAATGGCGGCCGAATTTGGAGCGCTGTTCCCGGCAGGTAAAATGGCAGCTGCTTGCGCGGGCTGGGGCTCCGCCGATTCCCGCGCTTGGTCGACGGCGACGGTAGAACTGCCCGCTTGATGCACCCATGCCGCAGCTTCTTCCTCAGGCGCCTCCACTCCGAGCTGGGCAAACAACTCCGCCGCAGCAGCCATCCTTCTCCAGTCGGCGGCAGTGAGGAGTCGTCCCTCACACGCTGCTCCGCGGGGATCGCCTCCTCAGGACCAATCTCCGGGGTCCTGGATTCCGGGGCTGTCGGGGGAATCACTTCTCCGTCGTCCTCTTCGCCCGAAGACACAATGGTCGGAACCTTCTTCTTAGTCGACTTCGACATTGTAACTTTTAAATAAAATAAAAATGCTATATATAAAATATATTCTTTAACATTTCTTAATCCAAATGTAGTGATACACTCAGAGACACTAGGAATAGAAGGCACTCTATTTATTATAGCCTTTACAGGGTACAAGGGGTAACTACACTTTCAGAACAACTAACCGACTGAAGAAGACTGAAGAAGACTCCAGGATCCGACGGGATTCCACTCCAAACAACAGCCCCGAACCTTATCTCGGGGTCCCCTTTCATCCTCTTGGCGTGGCCTCGCTCCGCCCCCGGCCACGCCCCCCTTCTGGAACCTACTAGTGAGTTTCCAGGCTTACCTCACGTGCCCCCTCTATCACCTTTGCCCTACATCCCTCTCTCTGCTTATCACGTGACCTGCTGACAGACAGGGCTGCTGCAACCGCAGACCCCTTTCCCTGCCAACAACCAGTGCTATGCTCCATAGTGACCCATTTTCTGTCACTACACATGTATTGTCCAACTAATGTTCGAGTTATGTATTTACATTTTTTTAAATGAATAAAGTCTCCAACAAACAATTAACTTAAACTTTTATTTCGTGACATTTGAAATAAAAAAAATGTACAATAATTAAAACTCAGTTTTATTGGTGAAAATCAAAGCCATAAATGGAATCAGCTGTTAATGATGCTCTGTATAAAGTGATCATGAATGACTTCATACAAATTATATCCTTAGCTCTTTCGGTAAAGTCACGTTGAAGGGAAACAATAAAATATATATAAAACAATAAAAATTCTCACGACGTTTCGACCATAACGCAAACGGTGATCATCAGGTTTTTCACACCTGATGATCACCGTTTGGTTTTTCACACCTGATGATCACCGTTTGCATTATGGTTGAAACGTCGTGAGAATTGTTAGTTTTTCACACCTGATGATCACCGTTTGCATTATGGTCGAAACGTCGTGAGAATTTTTATTGTTTTATGTGAGAATTTTTATTGTTTTATATATATTTTATTATTTTATTGTTTCCCTTCAACGTGACTTTACCGAAAGAGCTAAGAATACGAATTACTGCAGTCACGAAAGCTTTAAATCAAGACTTCATACAAGTTTGTTTGGCGCTACTGTTTCTACTTTTATTAAAAATTCACTCTTTGGTCAACACTGGAATAAATCGTTTTTTTTGGTCAAAAGTGGCCAGCGTATTGCACGCTTTAGTTTTGGATTCAAATGGGTAGTGTTGATAGAGATTATATTTCTTGGCAATATGTATTAATGCTTTGAAATACTGCAATGTACTACTCATTATTCTGATGGTTAATGCATCATGTTTGGGCCAAAAGTGGGACATGTTAAAAACACACATACTTTGTGACAATGTATGAAATACTGTTTGCATCAAATATTGAATTCACACATGTTTTGGTCAGTGTTGAATACAATTTTCATAGTGGCTCAGAATGTTGCTTTGGAAGCAAAAGTGGCCCAGAGTAGTTTTGCTTTGACCTTTTTAAAAATGAAACCTTGATGATGTTTGTACCCGTTGTTGAATAAATACTTAAAATGTATTGCATTTATTTATGCAATGTAAATGTTTTTTATTCACTATTTATGATTGAAAACACTACATTGTACGTGTCAATAGCAAGTCGAAGAAGTCATCACCAGATGCTTATGGTGCCATCACACCGTGTAATCGCACGCTGTTGGAACTGTCGACACTCGACCTCCAAGGACCGCTCTTGCAGTCGGTCTGAACGTATACTAATGAGACTACTTGTAATGTGACGCAGTATTCGCTCACTCTCTTAGAGTGAGAACAACGCAGAAGCATGAGGAACCGCAGGCAAGCCGGAAGCCAGCGCCAATAATTGCCCAGGCTCTGTGGTCCTCTATATATAAAGGTGTTAGCCAAATAATGTCTTTACATGTGGATGTAAACCAGAGCAGTGGTGTAGTGGTTAGCACGCTGCGCTACGAACCTGGTGACCCGCTCACAGCCAACACCAGTGACGAATATCTGAACTCGTCCTGGGCCTCCCCTAGGTCGACTCAGCCTCAAATGAGTACCTGGTGTGGTGTGTAAACATTGCCACTAGAGAGACAAAGGCGGCCGGCCGTGATGCTGGCCACCCACCCCCTCGTGCGCCTTGCCGGCCTTCATAGGTGCTCGTAAACAGCTCTTGCTCCAGCAGTCTGTTCAGGCTATACGGGGGGATTTTTGTCTTTGTAAACCAGAGAATGCAGAGGCAATGTTTTGCACGTGTGTAATGCAAGGGGGGGGGGGGGGAATGCTTGATCCCATACCGACCAAATAGGTGTGAGTCAGTCCAAATGTATGCTCTACTGCCTTCTCCTGGTACGTCAAGGGTATGGCACCTCACTGCCCATGGGAAGGGAGTCGATAATTGTGCGAACCACCAGACCTCAACTCCACATTGCTGGATTACCGGCTACGTGCGTTAGCTACCACCACCCAGTTGGTCTCTTGGTGAAAAAAAAATACTTAGTTTTTGCACAAATCAGACTTAAAAAATGTCTGTAGTTTTTGACAAAGAAAAACCTGAATGTTTCTTTAAATAACTGACGAGCGTAAAAGATGTTTAGTGATAAAAAAACCCCCGGAAAAAAACGATGTGCAAATCTGTCAGTTTTTAGTTGAAAATAGGAAACACGTGTTGGTTTGGCGTTTTACATAAACTGTAAATAATTACCTTATTCATTGTGAAATAGATTTTTTTGCAAACCTGTCATTTCGGTCCAAATGGACATGATGAATGTTATTTGAGAAAACAAATCTAACATTGAATGTATACATGCTTTACCTAATATATAACAAAAAGTAATGATTAAATATTGTGGGGGGAAAATATGAAACATTTAGCTTTTTTGACAAACCAAAAATAACACGCCAAAGTATATGGGCCAATTGTTTTTTTGTTAAACATTAAAGTAATTCAAATGAAGCCAAAGATGACTTTTTCAAATATTACGTTTGTAAAGCTATTGTTGGTGTGTACAAATTCTCGGTCCTTTCAAGGCAACTTGTTGGCTTTTCACGTCCTCTATGTCCGCCGCTGGCTCAAAAATAACCCCTTCTCATAAAAACTGCTTCTCACGTTCGGTTTCGTCATTTTATTTAACTCCATCGCGAAAAAGACAGCAGCATCCTCCATGAAGCAGTGACCGAATGACTGTTTAGCAGCAAATATCGCTTAAAAATGGTCCCTTAGCAAAGACGCGTTTGGTAGGGAATCGGGGAAAAGTGATTTTCAAGCCTGACATGGATACAGCTGAAACACGTGACTCTTGTGGATTCACTCGATACGAAACATTCCGGTGCAATGAAGATCTCCGTCAACTCTACTGCACTGCCGCTGGCTGTACTCTCTAAAGTACAAACATCGCAGTCCGTTAAGAGTGATGCTGAGCAATACATTTTGATGACCTATTTCTCCCGGTGATGTCGCAAAATGCATGAACAAGGAAACGTTCAGCCTGTTCAAAAGGTAAAAATGTCGTACAATAATCGTCACAAATAAATTATATAACTCGTGTCATGTTTTCTCTTTCACATATAGTACAGTATTTGCAGTTTTCAAAAAAACATGAACGATTCGTGAAATGTGTGGATTGATCTCATCACGGATTTACACATCGAGCTTTCTCGGCCAAAACATAATCATATCGTATATTTATTTCTTAGTATCACGTCTATTGTTACCGGCACCACATTGGCATTCCAATGATGCGTCTGTATACACAACCTATAATATTTCCCTTTTTATTCAGAATGACGTACCGTAAACTCGGAGCGAAGAGATGGAAGATAACCATAATTAACGCGAGTTTCACTGGAACGCAATTTGTCTTGATGTGCGCGTGGTCATGCAAAGCGTGTATTGTATGTTCTTTTTGTGCATGCCTGTTTTACAGGGGAAAAACACACAAAGCATCTAGAGCTACGAAACCATTAAATACACGCATAAGACAATTCTGAATTGGCAAATTCACTTGAGGCTCATCTGTCTTAACATTTGATCCAGACAACTGAGGAGTGGCTTTACCTTCCAAGCTGTCTTTCTGGGGATTCAAAGTTTCATGCCGCAAGTGACGGGCACATCTTGCACGCACGTAAACGTGTGTGTGTGTTTGTGTCCGTCCAGGAGCATCCCACTCCAAAGAGGAGACGCGTATGTTTGCGTACGCGCCAATAGGAGTCGCGTATGTCCCATGCTGGAGGCGTATGGAGGACACCTCCCGTGACCGGCTTGCGCCACCACCACAGTCGCAAGCGCGGAGGCTCCCACTTGCGACGCCGCTGGACTTCTCTTAACTGGCGGCGGTCGTTACTGGAAAGTGGCCCTGACCTTGGCGAGCACCTCGTGCACCTTGCGGGAGTTGCGCTCGGCCGGCTGCCGGTGGTAGTTGGGTTCGTGCTGCGAGGCCAGCGCCTGCAGGTCGACGCCGCGGAAGCGGCAGATGCGTGCACGTAGCTGCACCTTCAGTTCTTCGTCGGGCGCCAGGGCGTACGTGCGACTCTGGAACGCCGCTATCTGGTGGACCGTCCTTGCCAGCGATCTGGGATGGCGGAGGCAGTGGGTGACGCGGCAGCGGTGACGAACAAAGACGGACGTTTCTGGTTACAGATGTGAATTGCGCTTGTGATCATGTACTGTTACCGTAATAGTTACATGTGCAAATTACAAGCAATTCATATGTAGGTTTATTACATTTGTGATTCGTAATTGGTTTCTAAATTACACACCTACATCTTCTTTGGTTCTTTCGGTAAAGTCACGTAGAATGAGAATAAAATAATAAATTGATAAAATAAAATAACACAATAAAATTCTCATGACGTTTCGGCCACAACAAGCGGCCTTCATCAGGTGAAGGGACGAGACTGTCTGGAGGACAGCGCTGGAGCGAACACAGTCAAGCTCAGACCGCGACCTTTAAGCTGTGTAAGAAGAAACAGAGCGCCTTGACAAAGGAATTAGCATAGAATTTAGCATTGAAATAGCTGAGTGATTAGCTTGTGACTGGTCACAGAAATGGCTATGTTAAAGTCAAAGCATACACATCCACAGAGGCACCCCTTGACAAAGGAATTAGCATAGAATTTAGCATTGAAATAGCTGAGTGATTAGCTTGTGACTGGTCATAGAAATAGTTATGTTAAAGTCAAAGCCTACACATCTACTGAGGCACCTAGTACAAATCAAACAGGAGAATTTAGCATTGAAATAACTGAGTGATTAGCTTGTGAATGGTCACAGAAATGGCTATGTTAAAGTCAAAGCCTACACATATGAGCTATTAACAGTAACTGGGTATACACTACACTATATAATGAATACTATATAGTAAACCTATAAAAAAAAACTAAAATATAAATTACCTCAATGTTTTGATTTAAAGCTTTCGTGACTGCAGTAATTCATATTCTTAGTTTTTTCGGTAAAGTCACGTTGAAGAGAAACAACAAAATATATATAAAACAATAAAAAATTCTCACGACGTTTCGACCATAACTCAAACGGTCATCATCAGGTGTGTCGGTTTGCATAAATGTATTTTTAAACGGCATATTTATTTATTTATAAAAAACGTTGGCGTCACGCGCAGCGATTGGCAGTTTGCCCAGGACTAGTCCATCTATTTTTTTGAAAAGAGGAGGGGGGAGACGAATTTTTTTATAATGTATGCTGTCTGAAAGCCACTGTAAGCGTGAACAATCAATCAAGAACTGAAATGATTTATCAAATCTTTCCAATGATTGCTAAGATAGAATCCATCTTCTCGGTTGAAATTGTCTCTGTGCTTGTATATGTGGATAGCCTCATGAACGAATCTCTCATGGAAGCCAGATGGCTTACAAAGAACCTCCGTCTTGGAAAAGTCAATGGCATGTGAGCCTACTGAATTAGAACAATGATCTGCTACGGCCGAGGTGTTGGTCCTACCGTGTTTAAGGTCTGCTTTGTGTTCACGAATGCGGTCCGAGACATGGCGTTTGGTTTCTCCAATGTAACTACTACCACAGAGGCAACTTAGTTTGTAGACACCAGGGTATTGTATGTCCGGAATCACATCTTTTACAGACGGAACCAGATCACGGATTTTATGTAATGTGTTGAAACGGACCTGGATCTTGTGTTTATTCAAGATTTTGGAGATCTTTTTTGTGATCCCAGCAATGTAGGGTAAAGTGATGGTTTTGAAAGGCTCCTCAAGAGGGTTCTTCTTCATGGTTTGAGTGATAGCTTTGCGGATTGTATAGTCGGAGTAACCATTAGCCCTAAGAGCTTGGTGTACGTGCTTGAGTTCACTGCTTATGTGTTCCTGGTCGGATATGCATTGGGCTCTATGATACAGAGTCTTGATGAGATAATTCTTCTGTGATGGATGGTGGTGGGAATCCGGTTTCAGATAAGCATCCGTATGGGTAGCTTTCCTGTAGACAGAGTGGCTCATTGAACCATCAGGTCTCTTTTTAATAGAATACAACAACAAAATTAAAGAATTACTCGACGATGGTAGTTATACAAAAATAAAAAGAGATCCCACCAACAGCCTCGTCACACAAACCAACAAAATAATTTCTGATTCAACCGCATTAATTGATCAATCTAAACAGTTTTCGTTGAAACCTTCTGCTGCCAGGCCACCAAGATTATACGGCTTACCAAAAATACATAAAGTTGATACACCTCTTCGTCCCATAGTCTCTACTATCAGCTCCCCCACCTACAAACTAGCTCGTTTTTTGTCTGAAATTCTGCGTCCTTTCACTGGAAAGACCACCTCTGCGGTACAAAATTCTACTCACCTGGTATCAACAATCAAGGGTATTTCCCTGTCCCCAGATGACCTGCTTGTCAGTTTTGATGTAGTTTCCTTATTCACCAAGGTTCCTGTACCTGACACCATTGCAATCATTGAAGACTTGGTTCATCAAGGACTAAACACTGAGGTACCCCCCCTGGTGAGACACTGTTTAACCAATACATACTTCACTTGGAATGGAACTTTCTACAAACAAACTGAGGGCACCCCAATGGGCTCCCCCCTTTCTCCAGTTATAGCTAACATTTTCATGGAGAAATGTGAGACTGACGCCATCCAGACTGCCACTCTGCGCCCAACCTTATGGAAGAGGTACGTGGATGACACTTTTGTCATCTGGCCACATGGCCGGCCTGCTCTAGACCAATTCTTCGACCACATCAATTCCATACACCCAGCCATCAGATTTACCATGGAAGTCGAAATAGATGGCAAGATACCTTTTTTGGATGTCCTAATTAAAAAGAGACCTGATGGTTCAATGAGCCACTCTGTCTACAGGAAAGCTACCCATACGGATGCTTATCTGAAACCGGATTCCCACCACCATCCATCACAGAAGAATTATCTCATCAAGACTCTGTATCATAGAGCCCAATGCATATCCGACCAGGAACACATAAGCAGTGAACTCAAGCACGTACACCAAGCTCTTAGGGCTAATGGTTACTCCGACTATACAATCCGCAAAGCTATCACTCAAACCATGAAGAAGAACCCTCTTGAGGAGCCTTTCAAAACCATCACTTTACCCTACATTGCTGGGATCACAAAAAAGATCTCCAAAATCTTGAATAAACACAAGATCCAGGTCCGTTTCAACACATTACATAAAATCCGTGATCTGGTTCCGTCTGTAAAAGATGTGATTCCGGACATACAATACCCTGGTGTCTACAAACTAAGTTGCCTCTGTGGTAGTAGTTACATTGGAGAAACCAAACGCCATGTCTCGGACCGCATTCGTGAACATAAAGCAGACCTTAAACACGGTAGGACCAACACCTCGGCCGTAGCAGATCATTGTTCTAATTCAGTAGGCTCACATGCCATTGACTTTTCCAAGACGGAGGTTCTTTGTAAGCCATCTGGCTTCCATGAGAGATTCGTTCATGAGGCTATCCACATATACAAGCATAGAGACAATTTCAACCGAGAAGATGGATTCTATCTTAGCAATCATTGGAAAGATTTGATAAATCATTTCAGTTCTTGATTGATTGTTCACGCTTACAGTGGCTTTCAGACAGCATACATTATAAAAAATTTCGTCTCCCCCCTCCTCTTTTCAAAAAAATAGATGGACTAGTCCTGGGCAAACTGCCAATCGCTGCGCGTGACGCCAACGTTTTTTATAAATAAATAAATATGCCGTTTAAAAATACATTTATGCAAACCGACACACCTGATGATGACCGTTTGAGTTATGGTCGAAACGTCGTGAGAATTTTTTATTGTTTTATATATATTTTGTTATTTTGTTGTTTCTCTTCAACGTGACTTTACCGAAAAAACTAAGAATATACCTCAATGTTATCAATAACCTCTATATATTCTCCAATCAGCTAAGCTACCAACAATAAGTCGTTATATATCACAATGCTATATGGCGAAAAAATGGGTGGATTCTTACCCTCAACTTTAGCACCACGGATAGCTATGAGCCCCGTTCAGACGGACGAGTTCATCCATGGTCGGAATGGAGGAGGGGGAGAGAGACAGCTGCGAGGCGCTGTTATACACCATGTTGTAAACCATACCATTAACCGTGGTGTGAGAGGTATTAAGAGTCTGCCAGCGAAAGAGCTGCGGTCTGAAGGTCATCGTAAAATACAATTAATTAAGAACGGAAATGGTTTAAAACATCTTTCCAATGGTTACTAAGCCAGAATCCATCTTCTCGGTTGAAATTGTCTCTGTGCTTGTATATGTGAATGGCCTCATGAACGAATCTCTCATGGTAGCCGGTTGGTTTGCAAAGAACCTCCGTCTTGGAGAAGTCAATGTCATGTGAGCCCACTGAATTATAACAGTGATCTGCCACGGCAGAGGAGTTCGTTCTACCGTGTTTCAAGTCTGCTTCATGTTCGCGGATGCGGTCCGAGATATGTCGTTTGGTTTCTCCAATGTAGCTACTACCACAGAGGCACTTTAGTTTGTAAACGCCTGGGTACTGTATGTCTGGAACAGCATCTTTTACAGATGGAACCAGATCACGGATTTTATGGTCTGTGTTGAATCGGACCTGGATCTTGTGTTTATTCAGGATTTTGGAGATCTTTTTAGTGACCCCTGCAATGTAGGGTAAGGTGATGATTTTGAGTGGCTCCACAAGAGGATCCTTCTTCATGACTGGAGTGATGGCTTTGCGGATTGTGTAGTCGGAGTAACCATTAGCCCTGAGAGCCTGGTGTACGTGCTTGAGTTCACTGGTAATGTGTTCCTGGTTGGAAATGCATTGGGCTCTATGGTATAGAGTCTTGATGAGGGAGTTCTTCTGGGATGGATGGTGGTGGGAATCCGGTTTCAAGCAAGCATCTGTATGGGTAGCTTTCCTGTAGACAGAGTGGCTCATTAAACCATCATGTCTCCTTTTAATTAATCTGATGGCTGGGTGTATGGAATTGATGTGGTTGCGGAATTGGTCTAGAGCAGGCTGGCCATGTGGCCAGATGACAAAAGTGTCATCCACGTACCTCTTCCATAAGGTCGGGCATAGAGTGGCAGTCTGGATGGCGTCAGTTTCAAAATTTTCCATGAATACGTTGGCTACAACCGGAGATAGGGGGGAGTCCATTGGGGTGCCCTCAGTTTGTTTGTAGAAAGTTCCATTCCAGGTGAAGTAGGTGTTGGTTAAGCAATGTCTCACCAGGGGGGGTACATCAGTATGCAGTCCTTGTTGAACCAGGTCTTCAATGATAGCGATGGTGTCAGGTACCGGGACTTTGGTGAACAAGGACACCACATCAAAACTGACAAGCAGGTCGTCTGGGGACAGGGAAATGCCTTTGATTGTCGATACCAGGTGAGTAGAATTTAGTACCGCAGAGGTGTTTTTTCCAGTGAAAGGTCGCAGTATATCAGCAAGAAAACGTGCCAGTTTATAGGTGGGGGAGTTGATAGTAGAGACGATGGGACGAAGGGGTGTATCTTCTTTGTGTATCTTTGGAAGGCCATATAATCTTGGTGGTCTGGCAGCAGAGGGTTTCAACGAGAACTGTTTGGTCTGATCAATTAATGCTAATGGTTGCTCTGACTACACAATCCGCAAAGCCATCACTCCAGTCATGAAGAAGGATCCTCTTGTGGAGCCACTCAAAACCATCACCTTACCCTACATTGCAGGGGTCACTAAAAAGATCTCCAAAATCCTGAATAAACACAAGATCCAGGTCCGATTCAACACAGTACATATAATCTGTGATCTGGTTCCATCTGTAAAAGATGCTGTTCCAGACATACAGCACCCGGGCGTTTACAAACTAAAGTGCCTCTGTGGTAGTAGCTACATTGGAGAAACCAAACGACATATCTCGGACCGCATCCGCGAACATAAAGCAGACTTGAAACATGGTAGAACGAACTCCTCTGCCGTGGCAGATCACTGTTACAATTCAGTGGGCTCACATGACTTTGACTTCTCCAAGACGGAGGTTCTTTGCAAACCAACCAGCTACCATCAGAGATTCGTTCATGAGGCCATTCACATATACAAGCACAGAGACAATTTCAACCGAGAAGATGGATTCTGGCTTAGTAACCATTGGAAAGATGTTTTAAACCATTTCCGTTCTTAATTAATTGTATTTTACGACGACCTTCAGACCGCAGCTCTTTCGCTGGCATTGACTCTTAATACCTCTCACACCACGGTTAATGGTATGGTTTACAACATGGAGTATAACAGCGCCTCGCAGCTGTCTCTCTCCCCTTCCTCCGTTCTGACCATGGATGAACTCGTCCGTCTGAACGGGGCTCATAGCTATCCGTGGTGCTAAAGTTGAGGGTAAGAATCCACCCATTTTTTCGCCATATAGCATTGTGATATATAACGACTTATTGTTGGTAGCTTAGCTGATTGGAGAATATATAGAATTTATTGATAACATTGAGGTAATTTATATTTTAGTTTTTTATTGGTTTACTATATAGTATTCATTATATAGTGTAGTGTATACCCAGTTACTGTTAATAGCTCATATGTGTAGGCTTTGACTTTAACATAGCCATTTCTGTGACCAGTCACAAGCTAATCACTCAGTTATTTCAATGCTAAATTCTCCTGTTTGATTTGTACCAGGTGCCTCTGTAGATGTGTAGGCTTTGACTTTAACATAACTATTTCTATGACCAGTCACAAGCTAATCCCTCAGTTATTTCAATGCTAAATTCTCCTGTTTGATTTGTACTAGGTGCCTCTGTGATTGTGTATGCTTTGACTTTAACATAGCCATTTCTGTGACCAGTCACAAGCTAATCACGCAGCTATTTCAATGCTAAATTCTATGCTAATTCCTTTTTCAAGGCGCTCTGTTTCTTCTTACACAGCTTAAAGGTCGCGGTCTGAGCTTGGCTGTGTTCGCTCCAGCGCTGTCCTCCAGACAGTCTCGTCCCTTCACCTGATGAAGGCCGCTTGTGTTATGGCCGAAACGTCGTGAGAATTTGATTGTGTTATTTTATTTTATCAATTTATTATTTTATTCTCATTCTACGTGACTTTACCGAAAGAACCAAAGAAGATGAATCCTTGCAGTCACGAAAGCTTTAAATCGAAATTTACACACCTACAGGTAATTAATACCTAACACAAGATACTGAATTGGTAACTTATATCAACATTTCCTCCAGTTATATGTAATTTTGAATGTATTTTGTCCATCTTTTAAAAAATCCACTGCTAGGTTAGGGCCTCCCCATGCCACGTTGGTCATCTTAGCTTCCTGGTGCTGATATTTACACACCACACCAGGCTCAGTGAACCCAGGGGAGGCCCAGGAATAGGTTGAAGGATGCCAACCACCTAGTCACAGAGTTCGTAACATAGTGTGGAAATGACTGCACTGCCGCTCCCCGCAAATCGGCCCCACCGATAAGAGTTCGTACCTTAACTTGGGCCACTTGTACATCCTGTTGGCCATTGTGAAACCTCCAACTTCGAGCTGCTGCACGTGCATGGAGAAGAGGTGAGGGCAGGGGATGGTTGGCTTGGGCCGACTGGTATCGGCCTCCAGTAAACACTCGCTGTCACTCTTCAGGAATACCTGGGGGATAGGGGGGGGCGTAGTGAAAGACAGAAAGATGCGTGGGTGGATGAACACTGGGCATTGACCAGTGTAATTTGGTAGGGAGATGTGGGAGTACCCACACTGTACCCCACTAGTATAAATGTACTCATATTGCTGGGTGGACAGGATATAAGAAACTTGGCCCAACTGCTGCACCACGAGACAGAATTGAGCCAGTGACCTTTGTATTGCAAGTCAAGTATGCTAACCATTACACATCTTGGCAGCTCCCTTAGTTTCTCAGTTAATTTTATTTATCGTTAGGCATCTCTTAATGTGTGGCAAATCGGATACCTGTTTTTTGCAATTTTTTTTTTATAATTAGCTACCTGTGGTCATTGAGTCACAGCACGGTAAGATAGAGACCTGGAATGTGTTACTGACATCATCATCAATGTATAAACGTAAACCGTGACTCTGCTGGAGTACAACCCGCGACGCCAGAACAAAGGGGTATTTGAGATAATAATAAGAGACTCGATCAGTATGGAAGCGATTGTATATCAAATACAATGTGGGCAAAACAAAGCGTTTGCTCCTTGAGAAGAAACATCTTTTCAGATCTCTCGCAGAGCGGTGCAACAGCTCTCCGTGTCAAAGAGCGATCCACGGAAGTGGATATCACAGGGCTACCTCTGAGGTCTCTTCACACGTGACCTCTTGTTCTGAAAAGTTGAGGGCATCACTTTCTCACCCGCTCTGACGGGGAAAGATTGTGTGTGAATGTAACGGCCGGGAATGCTGCACCTTCACTGCCACCAGCTCCTCCATGATGGCCATCGCCTTGGAGGGAAGGCTTCTCCACACCTGTCAAAGTCACATGACACAACAGTGGACGAATGGATATTCAAGACCCTGTTGCTAGCTGCCGAGTTCTGACGGGATCGGGGATATTCATGAGATTTCATCATATGCTCTGAAGGTAATATGTGCAAGAGTGGTGGTGGTGGTTGTGCCAGAGTCTGGGGCTGGATGTTCCTGGAAAGGTCACTTTAAAAAAAAAATACACGTTAATGTTTAACCTTATCAAAGTGAATAAATATTTATGTTATTTATACAGAGAAAAATAAAATGTCTTTATCTAGCCACTCGGAACCCACCAACCTGCGTACATTTTCAGTGCATGTACCCAGCATACAACGAGTGTAAACCGCAATAGGTCATCACTGGAGAGTGCGAGGCTCACGGGAAGCTGCCTAACGGTGAAGTTCTCCAGCCCGTTCAGGATCTGCATGCTGGACGCGAAGTTGCGCAGGCTGCTGCAGGTCTTGGCCACGTGCAGGAATTTGGAGAGAACAGCCAGCTGTGTCTGCGAGAGACGGTGACTAGACAATGACGATCCCCTTTAACAAAAACATTTTTGGTGAATCTCATTTCCAAGCGATCAGCGTCGCGTCATGTGACGGCAAATACATTTGTATCTCTTGCACAGCGGTGCAGCCCTTCTTCATGTTAGTGAACGGCCCACGGAAGTAAAGATCCCTGCATCAAGTGATCTCTGGTCCACACAGTAGAAGGCAGCATTTCCCCCACCCACTGATGCCACTGAGTTAACGTATGTCGCACAACAGTGAAACTGATATTTTTAATTATCAGGGCTTATAATTGATCTAAATTGAGGGCAGAACCAATTGTATTTTGCCCTGACTCATATTATTTGTGCAGTAATTGGTGACCAGGATGAAACCATGAACTCATTACACTTGAGAACCCGGTTTAATCACAGACGTCTGCTGGTCACCGCCCGGTCACCCCCCCCCGCTCCGTCGCAAGGCCTCTTAAACAAAGATGTAACCTCACTAAAAAAAAAATCAGCTCCTATTTCATAGATATGTGCCCTGGCTGTCCAACAACATTTTTGAAGCTTCATTAATGACGATAGAACTCTTTAAAAACATGAGAAAACGCTCTCTACTATTGTGCTCTAAGTGACGTTACAGCATTAACATATATAAGGAGTGCCATGAGGGTGGGCTTATTTCTCGTTAATGAAGGTTCATATTTGTCATTGACACCCCAAGATACAGAGGCTAGGTGTGTATCTACAACAGACACTTTTATTTCCTTGCATATTCCTATCAAATCGCCATGAATATAGCACCAATGAGTCTTCTTTCTTCCTCTATTCCTGAACTAGCAGCACAAATATCATGACAAGAAGAACATTCACGAAGTTTAGCGCCATGCGAATTTCAGCATTTAACCAGCTTGTGAGATTCAAGCTTCCTGCCCAACTACTGATCAGTGAGCTCACCACCACACTGTCTGGCTTACATATTCCACAGAAACAACGGACAGCGCTTAGCCAAATCTTCACAAGCCATGGAAGATGCGGGTAACAAATGCAATATAAAAAATATCTGTTGCGTGTAACTTTGGCTATGACCGCCGGCCTATGGAGCACGTAACTTAGCACTGCGCCAAATGTAAATTTGAAGGCAGTGCTTCCGCAATTCATTAAATCTCAGACAGAGCAAATGGTATAGGTAATTTACTTGCAAGTGAAGCTCTTAACAAGTGAAGCTCTTAAAAGTTTATTTTCATCGGCGATAAGTAACCATCATCATCGCTGTAAATCTCCCGTGCGCCGGAACGCACCTTGATGGAGTCACAGCTTAGGATCTCCGCGGACACCCAGGTGCTGATGTTGGCAGAGTGGTCCAGGAATTTCCACAGACTTCCCCGGGGCTTGCAGTCAGGCACAAACAGGCTGACTCCCTCCGGCGAGCAAATGGTCAGTCTAGTGTGCAGAATAGACGCACACACACGCACAAGTTAATGGGGTGGCAGGTTGGACCAGGTGTAACGCTTGTGTTTCACAGCAACAAGGGCCTGGAGTATGTAGTTGTTTTTATTCTCCCTGATCAGCGTGGATTCTTCCAGGTTCTCTGGTTTAACTGCCGCAGCTAACATCGTATACAACGTTAACGGGTATTAGCCAAACATCCAATTGCTAAAAAAATACTTGAAAATTAATCAACTTGGATTACATATAGAAAAGTCGTCCCTTACTGCGCAACAACTTTGCAGGACCCTCCTTAAAAAGCGTAGAGACTCAGTAAGGCTGTACTTTAGTATAAATACATGTTCATTTTGATTCATTTGTTGTTTTTTTCTGACTTTATGTGAACGAAAAGACAAATTCGGCAGTTTTCTCATTGAAAATAGTAAAATTTCAAAATATCACTGTCCTGGTCACAAAAGCAAAGTTTGTGGGGAATAATAGCCATTCTTTGTACTTTTGAGGCATAAGCAATTACGAAAAAAAACACTACCCAGGAACAAAAAAAATAATTGTTACACTGTTATCAGTGTCGATAATTTGAATGTTTCTGTCTGGTTTGTTCTGCCTTGCTTGTTCCATTAGCCCAAAGGTAATACACATGTCAATGCACTGCTGGATGAGGGCCTGCCCACACCGTGCTGTGATTGGGTTTATTTGATCACACTTCACCACGGTGGTCAGTGCATGTTGCGTGAAGGTTGGGGAGAAGAGGCTTGGAAAAACAATGCCACAGATTTTGATTTAAGGCTTTCGTGACTGCAGGGATTCATATTCTTGGTTCTTTCGGTAAAGTCACGTAGAAGGGAAACAATAAAATAATAAAAATATAAAACATTGTTTTATAAAATAATAAAAATATAAAAATTGTTTTATATTTTGATTATTTCCCTTCTACGTGACTTTACCGAAAGAACCAAGAATATGAATCCCTGCAGTCACGAAAGCTTTAAATCAAAACAATGTTTTATATTTTTATTATTTTATTGTTTCCCTTCTACGTGACTTTACCGAAAGAACCAAGAATATGAATGCCACAGATGTTCCGGCACTGCCCTCTGCTGCTTTACAGCTACATTGCAGGCAGCGGTAGAGAAATGTTGTGCTCGTGAAGGGGCCCGCAACCAAAACAACACGTCAAGCATTTTTTTTTATAGAATTCGGTAACAACAAAAAAAAAGCGAAATATTTCAAGAGCCGCAATGCTTGCGAATACGAGACAGTGGTCCAACTCCTGTGCTACCGTGTTCAGGCTTAAACCTGTGACGAGATCGGGCGTATTCATGAGACTTCATCAACGGTCCCGAAGGTAACATTTTCCTGTCATTGCATACACTGTAAGATATTGAGTTTTGACACGCACGGTTTGATTGTTTTACAATTATTCAGATTGTTTATTCCGGAAGGTCTCGCCGAGTCTCAAGACAAGGAGGGTCCCTGCCAACGTCGGAGTAGGAGGCAACGTTGCTGGCTGCGCGTGATCCCAACGAGTATGATTTTTTTTCAAGACAACTTTTCAGCAATGGGATGTTCTGCCAAAATCGTTTACAATGTTTTTTTTCCCAGTTATGGGAGGAAAAACGAAGAACCCAGAGGAAACCGACGCAGAATAGGGGGAGAACATTTAAACTCCACACGGTTCGCTGCTCACGTCGGGAATCAAACAGAGCCCACCACACATCACTCCCGAAGCATTGCAGCGTGAGCAACACGAGCAAGTTTTTTTTGTACCCCTCCACATCGATGATTTGATGACTCCACACCCACCTGTTGATTCCAGGCTGCAGATTCTCCCTGACGCCCTGCGCTCGTGTGTTCATGAAGTGCACGGGGAGGCACGACTTGAACATCACCTGTTGGAGGGTGGGAGTCATCAAGAGAAGTACCCAGCGGTCAACAATGACCTCAGAACATTGCAACGCGACAGCGACTCCAACCTGTCGTGTATAAAGCGGCAGCTTGGTTTAAAGAATGCCGTGGCAAATGTTTTAAGTTCCGAGTGCCTGAGAAAGCGAAGATCAGCAGAGCCCTTATTCCGCTAAGCCAAAGTCCCATTTGTTTTACATTGGATCGGCTGCTTAGATTTAATTTCTCCACGAGCTTCTATTCTGCACCTCTTCACTGCTCACATCCACTATCCACACATCTCGTTCCACTGCATCCTCGCATCTCATGCTTGGCCTCCCTCTACTCCTTTGCTCTTTGTGCCCTGAACCGCGACCAGCCAATCAATTGTTGTGAACCAAAGTATGCTGCTGGGTGGACAAAGGTGGTGGGGGGGGGGGGGTAAGGAACTTGCACTGCCTCACTGATAAAATCGGCTACCTCTCTATTGCAGCATGGCAGCTCCCTTTATTTCTCTACTAAAGTGGTAAAGATGTTACATTTCTATATGTGCGGCAAACCGGTAACTGTATTTAGCATTATTTTTGCATGCAGCTGTGGGTAATGCGAATAAAAAAAACCTTTTAACAACCCCGAATATTTATAAAACAAGCAGCTATTCTCCATCATTAGACCTCCTTTGCCAGTACCAAAATGTAATAATAGGGTTTTTCCCCTTTTTTCTGGCAACAAAACTGAAACCTATTTTTACAAGGATTCATGTCTGCATTAACCACAATACCTGCAGTCTAAATGTAAACAAAAACATACTATGATAATATATGCATTGTCCTTGAAACTGATTAGTCCACACCAAGGGACAGCTTTATTTTGAGCCTCGACCCAATTGGTGCTCGACCAGATGACGCCTTGCATTTTGACTGCAGGTGTTGTGGTTAATGCAGACATGAATCCTTGTAAAAAAAGGTTTCAGTTTTGTTGCCGGAAAAAAGGGGAAAAACCCTATTATTAAGCAGCTATTCTGTTATGTCCGAAAAAAAAGACCATTCCATAAATTTAAAACAGAAGTGTATGATGCACACGTCAAGTGGCGCACTAGAGCAAACGAGACGGAACACAGCGGCCCCGTCCCTCTACACAGCAGCACGAAACGGCGAGCCACGGATGTGCGGAGAAGCCATACCTCCTCCAGCAGGGTGAGCTGCAGCGCTATCTGCGTTGCGGTGTAATTGGCCAACATGAACGCCCCGGGGCTCTTGGCGCTGTGCTTGTACACGGAGGCGTCCCTCTCGCCGACCGAGGACATTTGTCGGAAGAGGCCCAGGCAGCCCGAGACGGACATCTGCTGCTGCACGGGCAACCGGGCCTTGTGTTGATCTCCCGTACCCGACGTCGGACGGGCTCTCTGCAAGGTGGACGCAAAATCACACATATAAGTGACACAACTACATTTCATGTTATTTGTTCATTTTGTGGAGTCATTTGCCGACTGGGCTGAGATGTACCAACTCACTACAGCTGAGAATCTCGTTTAGCTGCAAGTCTCAACAGTCACGGCTCGGTGCTCTAATATGGTATGAGCGCACGAAACCATCGGGCCACCTCATCGCACTACTTTGACTCATGTATATACGTATGTATGTTGAACTTCTGTCGCACCGGGCGTAGCCAACCGTGCTAATCGGAGGCGCAAGCGAGTGATTCAATTAAGCCTGTGACTTTACTTTCACACTTACCCGCGCTGCGCCGATGTCCAAGGAGGCGCGTGCCGATGCGGGGCCCGGTGAGAACACTGCGTAATCGTCGTCCTCCTCCAGGCTGCTCAGTGACCCTTGACCCCTGGAGTGGTCGCAATTGCTGCTGTGGTACAGAAGGTGCTGCCCCGCCGTCTCGTGGTATGAGACCACCTGCCATTGTGTCATGTCGTGGGTGTTGGGAAGGTAAAGAACACGTGGTTTGATTCAGGTGGTGGGCATTTGGAAGTGTCTTTATGTGTGCGCGTGTGTTTGACGTGGAGTGAAAACATTGGGTAGGCATGTTGGTAAGAAGGCTGCCAATAATTATGCAACAATCTGCATAACCAGGTGCCAGGCCTCTAGGCCAACTTATTACTCTTTCATAGAACTGGTATCGGCCCGATGCAAAATACTCTAAAGGTTTAACTAAATCAAACTAAATTGGCTATGTTTACATCTGAGTGACATGGCCAAGTTCAGGAGGAGGCAAGTGTAATTAAAATAACTCGGAAAAGATAGAGATGAAGGGGCAGAAAAATTAAGATGCTGCTTGAGGATTTGAAAAGAAGTGACATGAAGAAGAAATATCAAAATATCAAAATCGAGTGGCAGGTTCATGTTTGAGCCATGAACCTGCCACTCGGCAGATGACTAAAGATTAGAAATGGCCAAATCATGGCACCTTTGTAATTTCCCCATTTTTAGCAATGGAGAAATCAGCAAATTTTTGACCAAAACTGTGCAAACAAAATAACATTCACCAATGCATCAACTGGGACTATTCGCCGGGACATGAACCCCCCCATTTATGCCTGCTGCCCAATGGCAACTCAGAACAAACCGTTCACATCGCATTCCCTCTTCTTATGCAGTAATAATTCATAACAAATAAACAAACACCCCAGAGGCCGCGAGGCATGCGAGCAATTATAGCGAGTGAGCGATCAAGTCAGGTTTATTTGTTTAACCAGGTGAAAGCCCAAGAGACCAGGGTAACGGCTCGTTTTCAAGAATGACCTTGGACACCAAACGATGAAAGCAAAACAAATAAAATATAATACAGCAATGAGGATAAAAGTACAGTGATGCTCACCTCCCCCCTCACTGGCTCACCACACACGCCTCACCTTGTTTAAGATGAATCCCTGCAGCACGCTGGTGAGTTCCGCGTCACCCGCGAAGTCCACCCTGTAGCACGTCTGCAACCACATGTGCAGCAGATCCATGCTGCGCTGGCAGATCTTGGACGAATGTGGCGTGTAGACACTACGGGGGACAAGGAAGAGGATTGTTGCAAACAAGACACAAAAAAGAGAGGGGGCACAGAATGCTTGAAACAGCGGCCACTCGTATCCTGTGAATATGTATAATGTATAACAAAACCGTATTCTTGGGTTTCTTCTTCAGGCCGCTTGTGTTGCGATCGAAACGTCGTGGGTTTTTTGCTTTTAATTTGATTATTTTTGTTTTCTATCTACGGTGACTTCACCGAAAGAACCAAGAATATGAATTCCGGCAGTCACGATAGTTTTAAGCCTAAACATAACAAAACCGTTTTTGAGTTATCCTAGTGGATTGTTGGCAAATAACAAAAAAGGAAGACACACAAGGATCTCTTTCACCAGAAATAAAACAAAACCCCCACAACATTTGAGTTGATGATCCAAAATACCCTCCCGTACCAAAGTTTTTCAACAGGATGTGTGCCGGGGTTTTCCTCTTTAGACAAATGCCCCTGGAAAATATGGACCAAGAAGTCCTTTTGACTGATGGATCTGAATAATACATACGGACCGGGCGATTTCACGGTAGCGGTATTGCACGAACAATGTAAATGTATTACCTCTGGAAATGAAATGGGCTTTTAATGTAATCACTCCCAATCTGCTGAGTGAAAACATTTTAGAAACTGTAAATCCACAAATTATCATTATGTTAAACTAGCCTTTTGCCCATCCAAGGATGGGTGTATTGCAGTAAATCTGAAACTTGCAAACGAAAAGCAGACCACAACGTGATATATTCATTGCATTAATGCGTGTGCATTTTGTAAGGCCACGGTGACAGACTTATTTCATTTAAAGGTCCATCGTGACGTCCTTTTTACTTCTATGTCTCAACAGCGTCACAGAGATCACGTGATGACGTGAGGGTTCTACCTTTGTAGTGAGGGTTGTAAGTTGACGCCGAGGAGGGGGGAGGAGGCGCCTCGCCCCCCACGTGGAGTGACGTCAGCCACTGCCGAGGAGGGGGGAGGAGGCGCCTCGCCCCCCACGTGGAGTGACGTCAGCCACTAATTATTATTAATGGTGGGGGGGGGGGTGTCCATTTGGAGGACGTCACCTGTTCATGATTATTAATGAGGAGGGCTGTTCGATGTGGAGTGACGTCATCTGCTCATTATTATTAATGAGGGGGGGTTCTCAATGCGGAGTGATGTCACCCGCTCATGATTATTAATGAGGGGCGGGTCCATGTGGAGGACGTAACCTGTTCATGATTATTAATGAGGGGGACTGGTCGACGTGGAGTGACGTCATGCACGTTACACACTGACATTCTTGGGTAAATATAGTTCTAAATTGTGGGATTATCAAGTCCGGCATCTCATGCTGCAATTCCATTACCATGGCATTGACTGAATGTTGTACATGACCAATAAAAATGTCGTTTTTTTACACACTCAACACAAGGACTCACAATGAAAAAAACCCACATTTTCCAAGGTGTGAGGTCTAAGCACAGGCGACAACGGGTCTTGTGATAACCACAACGATGGGTGTACTGCTTCTATGTGTATGTATTCCCTATGGGCAAATATGCCCAACCTACAACCAAATCACCATGACGTCTACAATCACGTGACCGTGAACATGCCCAATTATGTCAGGTCAGATTAGCATTTGAATGGGACACTACCTGGGTACACCAGGTGTTGCATGTAGTCTTTGGCTACGAGGTGGCCAATTGATGGTATCACAGAAATGACTTCACTTCATCTGTGTGGAGCTTTGAGTGTCACACCCTCCAGTTATCGAATTGGCCAACCATCCCAACGCAGTACTCCCGTGAAAAATAGTTCTGAAAATCGGTGAAACTTTATTTGATTAAAAAAAAAGGAAATTATAAATTAAAGATGCTTCTCTTTACCTGGAGGCGTTTACAAACTGCTCCATGATAAAGCTGAGGAGCTGCTGTGGGGAAACAAAGTAGCGGTACGTGTAGAAGAACTGGTGAATGTATCCCTGGGACAGCGAATTCCTGTGACCCACAGCACACGTGTGCGCGCGCACACACACGCACAACATGGAGAGAAAAAAGAAACGAGTTCAAACAGTCATGCATTCGCATGAATTATGTAACACTTTCCAACATGCATCTGTCTTCAAAAGCATTTCGTTAGCAGTACGGAAGCCTACAGATAGCAGTCAGGGCAAAATGCTTTTTCTCTGGTTTGTGACTCGGAATGCTGGGAAAGCAACCGTTCAATAATTTTGTTTTTTGTTCAATAGGGTAAGTGGCCAATAGCAACGCAATTGTATACTGAAGTCTTGTTCTTACTAGGTATGTTTACGAGTCTTACAGTGCCTCACTGTTAACAAAGGATGGACCTAATGTATAAACGCTTTCAACCAGAGTTGAAACTTTTAAAAGAGCATAAAGGCGTCAATCCACCTGCCCCAAATACGAGTTAATCTTTAAATTATTTCACTGGCTGGCAGCTCTGTGTTACCACAGAGGCTACTTAATGGCATATCCCAGCATTTGGAATTTTCAACGCAATCATCAGAAGCCAGAATTACATTAGACACAGCCACACAATCCGAGCAGGGGATTTGCGATGCAAGGGTGCAGCGGCAAAACCAATGAACATTTAAGAGCACTTGGATATATATATTTCTAAAGCTATTCAATGGCTCTTGAAGGTGGCCCGTGAACTGGACATCATAAAGTAATAAAAGGAGGAAGCGGGTGGACGTCACTGGCTCGTACTTGGCATAGAGGTAGGACATGAGTCCGAGGGGGGTGCCTGCATGGACAAAGGCCGTCGATTCCTTTGGGGCACCCTCTTTGGGCGCGGCCGCCTGGAAGAGGAGGCCAAAGGTCGGTGGAGCAACGTCTTTCGCGTCGCCGGCCATCGCGTTTTCCTCCTCCTCCTCCTCCCCCATGTCGGTGGTCACGGAGCCCGGGTTGGGCTGCCCCGCAAATCGGCTCGTCTTGAGCGAGGGCAGGTCGTACAGGTTCAGGCCACATTGCTCAGCCGTCAGCAGCTGCGGGTTGGTGGCACAATGGCGATGATGACGGAGACAATAATAAATGTTGAACAGCTCTCTGATGTGTATTCAGATTGCACCGCATGCGTTGTTTTGACAGATAAGATAAGACGTGATGACCAAAGTTTTCCCTCCACGTGCTGCGAGCGTAGCCAGTAGAGGAAAACGTCGGACATCACGGCAAACAACACGTGGTACAACCTGAACACACATCATTGAGTTAAACAGCACAATCCCAAACTGCCTACTCACAAGTTGCGAATGCCGAAGTCATGGAATAAATGGAGAGGCTTTGGTTGTAATGCTAAGAGCACCTCCGATTAGTACGGTTGGCAACGTACGGTGCGAAAGAAGTTTAACATACATAAGAGTTCAACTTAAACTGGTCACCGTTTTAAAAATATTTTTAGCAATCAAAATCACGAGGGCCTGGTGCCTGCCACGGGGTCACAAGGTACACACCTCCAGGTAGGAGCGCACAAAGTGCATGAGTTCCACTTTGCCCTGTGTCTCCTCCATCTGGGACGTGAGCTTGAACAGTAGCCCACGATCGCCACCACCTGTTGGCGGAAACGGGCAACATCATCCGGCTACCCACAATGCAGAGTGGGCGATGTCATCTAGCCACCCGGCAGAAACATTTCACAGCAACGTTGCATAGAAGGCTGCAGTGCAGGTTACATACAACCTTATTACCACGAAGGGGTCCTTTTGAGAACACATTCGGATTCATCTTCTTTGGTTCTTTCGGTAAAGTCACGTAGAATGAGAATAAAATAATAAATTGATAAAATAAAATAACACAATAATATTCTCACGACGTTTCGGCCACAACACAAGCGGCCTTCATCCAGCGCTGTCCTACCAGACAGTCTTGCTCCCTTCACCTGATGAAGGCCGCTTGTGTTGTGGCCGAAACGTCGTGAGAATATTATTGTGTTATTTTATTTTATCAATTTATTATTTTATTCTCATTCTACGTGACTTTACCGAAAGAACCAAAGAAGATGAATCATTGCAGTCACGAAAGCTTTAAATCGAAATTCGGATTCATGTTTGTGTCTGGTTTTGCTGCAGTGAGCTAGTCTCACTTTTGCTCTTGACGGATCCCTGCGTGAGCTTGCGGTAATACGTCTGCGTCTTTTTCAGGTTCTTCTTCTCCAGCATCAACTGCTGCTCCAGCTCCTGCAGGAAGAAGCATTTTTTATTTATTTGCGGCGGTAAACACCCCGGCAGAAATGTACGGAGGCGAAAAAAATTAATAATGGTCACATCATGGCAGCTTTTGTTATCACGTGCACATGATGTGTTGCACATATTAGCTGCGCCTATCCTGGATCCCCCCTAAAGCAACTCAGCCTTTAAAAAAAACTAAATCAAGTTTCCCGAATTGCATCCCAACTGTGCAATCGGCGTCAAATCATGAGACAAGGTGTGTATTCGGATTTGTCGCATAACACTGCAACGCTTCACGTTCGAGATGGCCCACAGTGTATATCACATAGCTACCTCTGAGATGCCTTCAAGTGACCTCTTTTCCACATAGCAGGGGGCAGCGCTCAGCCACTGAGAGTAATGTCAATAGCAAGATAGTCAACCCGATATTTTTAATTCTCAGAGCTGGACTTTAGCCAAATTGACTGCAGAACCAAATATGGCACGCGATGTTTTTGTTGTTGTTGCGCAGTCATTAGTGACCAGGTTGAGACAATCAGCTAACTAAACTTGAGAACCCAGATTAATATCGGGCAGCTGCCTAGATGTGAACCCAAGATCTAGGCGATGCCAGCTCAGGGTTTTTATCATCTTTTTTTTTTATCTTGGAGCCACTTCGACCACCTTGCGATTCAGCCTTAAACGAGTATCAGCCGAAGTGTGGCATACTTGTTGGCATCTGGTGTAAGCACCTGCAACCTCTCCTCCAGCCCGGCGCTCTGCCCGTATTTGCGGCCCAACGTCTGTGCATACGTCTTGATTTCCTCATTAAAGTCCGCCTCGCCGCGGAAGGCCAAGGCCCAGCCAAGGCATGTGGGCTGTGGCCCGGACGGACATGGGAAGTCCGAGCTGGGGGCACCGCTGCTGGCGCCATCCCCGCTGCAGCTGCCGCTGCCTCCGTCTCCACCTCCGCCGCCGCCACCGCCAACGCTGCCACCGCTGCTGCTGTTGTTGTTGGTCATCCGGCTGCCACCGCCACCACCGCCACCAGCACTTCCGCTGCGAGTCTCTCCGCCGGGCCAGCCGAGAGTGACATTGGGACCCAAGGCGCCATCTCCCTCGTTCCCCTCCCACGACTCCCGGCTGTAGAGCTCGGAGAGGGAGGAGTTGGCGCTCTGGCAGCTGATTGGCCGTCGCAGCGCTGGCAGTGCCGCGGGGTTTCCTGTGAGTGGAAGGTGCAATGGCAAGACAGATGTTGCGTGAGAGCCACCTTTGTCTCAAAGGGCTATCACCTCGTTGGGCAGTTTTCTTTCATTCACTGACACATCAAAAATACCGATCGGCAAAACACTTTCCTATCCTGCAATTTCTTTTGAATTCTCTCATGACATCCATTATTGATGCCGCAGCGTGTGTTAATTATTAAGAAGTAAAGAAAGTTATTTGCAGGCAAAGAACTTTCCTCTCCCAGTGGAAAATGACCCTATGTTCCTACACAGCACCTCTAGCGACTGCAGGGTTGACAGGAACAACGATCAGGGTCTCTCCACGACGCCGCGTGGGTCGTGGGGGGTGTTGTGGTCGCATTTCACCGTGCAGCATGAACGCAAAAGTAAATTTGAATCAAGGAATTGGCAGGTCGTGACACTCCCGAGAACTTACAAGCAACGCCGCCACTGGCAGCGATGACTGTTACTAGAATTCAGCGTCATTTCCTGAATGCTTTGAGCCACCGGACGCGTGGATAAAACAGAGGCTGGGCGCGGACGTTCACATCGCAAATTTTTTGCACGCACCGCTGCCTTCTCCGATGCCGGTGTTCTTCTGACAGACGGATTTCCAGACCTGGATTCCGGCCTGATCGTCGGGCGACTGCTCCGGTGCAGGAACCTCACTGACGTTGCCGGATGTCACGGCCGGATCCGGGCCTGCACGGGCGGCATTGGGGAAAAAATAAATAAACATTGGCTTAGATGCATCCAACGAGGCTATTACGAGACATAGAACTGAAAAAATTATCACATATGGGCAGTATGTAAGTTACATTTGATTTAAATTAAACATCTCAATGGAATTTGTACATTTTATCGAAATTATGCGAGACGCAGTTTTTTTCGTCATTTGTATACATTGAATGTATTTTGTCCATCACAGAATATTACCAGTAAATGTTAACCAGTATTCGGTCCCATTGCTGTGTACGTTTTTCGCGGTGGCACAAAGCATGAAAAATAAGAATAGGTTTTTACCCTTAATGGCAATAAAACAGGTGTTAAGATGTTCAAAAACCAGATAGATACCTTGGACATGCAAACAAACATGCTCACCACAAGTACAATGTGAAGTTAATGCGAACTTGATGCCTTGAAAAAGGTTTCTATTTGGTGTTTGAACACCTTAATCCTTTTTTTATTGCCAGAAAGGGTTAAATCTATTCTTATTTTTCAGTCTTCGATACTGGCAAAAAAGCTCCCATGGCACAAAGCGCGTACATAAAATAATGGCTGACATGCATAAATTGTTAAACACGAGCCCGAAATGTGTACACAAGAAACAACACGATTCATTTGAATTCCGCTTACTGAACAAGGTAAGAATTCATAGTGCCTCGTGTATTTTCCAAGAGGGAGCCTGACCATTCTTATGTATGAACAGTTATTCATCATCATGTACTTGAGTTGCTGGCAATTGCCGACCTAGGATTTGGGTTATGGCACAGGTACTGAATGATGTCACATTCCACTTTAGAGCAGATGGCACACTTTAAAATAAACACCGTGCAGAAATTACTGCACGAATGTGGAAATTGGACCATCTATGTTAATTGGCTTGCACTAACCACTAGGTTAACCGGTTTCTCGATTAAAGTCTCACATTGTGAGGACGGGAGTAAAAATCATAGCCAGGGTCACATCGGTTAAAAATAATCATTACCATCGTGATTATCGTCATCATCATCATCTTTATTGTGATCACTATATGTATTATTAACGTCGTCATCATTATCATCATCACCATCATCACTCTGATCATCACCATCATCAGTACCACTTCAAAGTCAGTAAATTTATGAATTTGAGATGAACTTAGTGCTACATCAGAAGAGGGCTGGCCACACTATGACATAGGAACATAGTCTTGTCATTTTGTGAATGTGCAGGTTACAAATCGTTTTTTTTAAATGATTGTTATCACTACACACACACGGGAAATCCTACCCTCCCTATCCCCACCGCCGCACGCACGCACTCGCCTGCGCACTGCACTCTCCCGGCAACCTTTGACCCCGGGCCCCGGGAGTCTCCCGAGCCAGGGGTGGCGCTCTTTCCGGCGCTGCGCGGTGTGCCGTGCTGCCGGAACGTGCTCTCCGACCAGGTCCGCGAGCGCGAGCTCCGGAGGCCGGGCTCCATGTCGGCCGCACCGCGATTGCCCCGGCCCGCGTTGCTCGTCACCGGCTCGGGGCCCGTGCAGTCGATGCGCCGCTCGCCGCCCACTTGGGAGGGCGGCGGTGGCTTCTGAAAGGACGGCCTGCTTTAATGGGAAACGCGCAATCCACCCCACCCCGCAACAAGTTAGGAAGAATCACGCGCAAGCGTGATTCATGCAACGCTTTGCAAAATTTCAACTGCTTTTTGTGTTTGGTTGTTGTCCTTCCCCCCGCACCTACAGTGCTAAAGAAGTTCAACATACATATAGTTAGTTCCGTCTTCGGAAGCATTTAATGAGCAGCACCTGAGTCGATGCATATACAATTGTGTTTATACATGTTTGAAAATCGTCCACTTCGCTCTGGTCTGTGTCTGCAAGTTAAGGGCAACCCTTCGGGCCAATTTCTAAGAATGTAAATAATGTAAATCTCGAATAGCAATACAATAAATCTGAATCTTGACAAGTTGATTGAAAAGTTGGAGGATCGGAGGGAAGGAGCAGTTGTGATTCGTGAGACACAAACAGCATTCCACATCGTGACTTCAGGGAGGTTGACCTCTGTATCTTGAGAGGCGGCATGGTGTCGCGGGAGTGCAGCTTGCGGAGGAGCCCGTCGTCCCAGTACAGGTCCGGGTAGCGCTCCTTTACCAGGTAACTGAAAGCCTTGAAGTTGAGTACACGCAGGGCTCGGATGAACTCAGCTGTGAAGTGGAGCCAGATGTGGTTGAAGGGGCGGTGGGGAGTCAAATCGATGTAACAAAATAATGAACTTGCATTCAATGTCCTGATAATGTGCACACAAATCACCCAGAATGCATCACGATCCTGTAAGGCCTCGCAAGATAAGCAAAGTTTGAGACTGGATAGTGCTTGGATGGTTGACGATCGTGCATTAAACAGGCGCAATAGGCAATTGTAGTTTGTATTCTTTTTACACTTTGCTGTAATTCCAGTAGGAATAAAGGCTAATTAGAAGTTATTCAAAAACAGTTCACTCAACATAAGCATGCCATAAGTCTTTTAATCATCGCAACTTTATAATCTGTAATGGTTATAATGCACACTGTCAGTGGGACAATGAATAATCAAATGAAACCTAAAGGGATGATATCATCATAACTGCCATGCCATCAAATACTTTATTAATGTGAAGCATTAATTTAATGCATGATAGCTAGTGTTTTAGAATTTTAATGACTGTGTTTGAATTTCATAAATATTGTCAACAATTAAAACATGATCGTCATGATATTTAGCAAAATGGACGATTTGATTATTGCTGATCTTACATCGTACAATATATCATGGAATCGCCATATCATGGCAACCCTAACCACCACTACTGCTGAAGCACCGGTTATTTCGTGGATTTGCTCACCCATCTCCATCTCCACGGCACCGTTTTCCATGTAGCCCTCAAAGGCAAACTCCTCGCGCAGGAGCCTAAGGATGCGCTGCTGCTGGGGGCTGATGGGACGCGGTGAATGGGGGCCCTCGGCCGCCCCCGTGCGGCCATTCTGACCCTGATGTCCAGGCGACAATGGCCCCACCTCGGGGCTGGATGGCGTCCGGCGTCTCCCCGCAGCCGGCACGGGCGCCCGGCTGCCCCACTGCGCCTCGGTGCTGTAGCCGGAACCCTGCGTACCGCTCCCCTCGTAACTTCCCGGTTGCCCCTGCGCCTGAGCCGCCCACATCTCCGCCCGGCGGAACTCCAGGTCCGGGCTGAGTGAGCAGGCCCGACCGCCGAAGCTACCGTTTCCCCTAGCCCTGCCACCCACCGCTGTCCGCCCGGCGGCCGCCGCTCCTCGGGCCTGCACCGGAGTGCTCGTGTTCCACTGCTCGGGGCGGCCCCGCGGCCTGGCAACGTGCGTCGCCGGCTGGCAAAGAGGCCCACTTTGCGAGCTCCAGTTCATGGCACGTCCGGGTGACGAGGGGCTGCCGCAGTCCGGCGAGGCGGGGTGGTCCGGCCCCCGACCGTCCCCGTTGGAGTTGGGCCAGTTGCCACGTGCACCGTACTGCACCGCGGGAGCGTAACTCCCTTCGGCCGACATCATCACGAGCGGCGAGCTGCTCACGATGGGCCCGGGCGCGGGAGTGGCGGCCCCGGCGGGGTCCTGCGGGGAGGAGACGGGTACGAGGAGGTAGTTCCCCGACGACTTGTCCAGCACGAGGGAGAAGCATTGCTGCGGGGCCGGCGAGGCCGCGGGTTGGCACGGATTGTGGTTCTCCGACTGCCTCCGGCTCAGCTGCGGTTGCCCGGCGGCGGCGGCGGCGGCGGCGGCGGGGGTGGCGGCGGTGGTGTCCGACGGCAGGCGAGCGGTCGTGTGGTCGGCGTCGACGCCGCTCTGCCGCGACACCCTGCGGTGCCCCGTCTCGGTCCACGTTTGCTGCCGGAGAACGCGGCGCCTGGGCATCTGCTGTGCGCCGTCGTCGACGCTCATGCTCCTTCTGCGAAACAAATATAAACGAGTCCATAGACACGTACTCTACATATTCACTCAAAAATGCCTCACAATTCACTCAAAAATGCCTCACAAATGCAATTAAGTGCCCTCCGCCCCCCATGCCTCCCAAGACTCCATTTGACATGTTACCCAGATTTTTCATCATTTTATCAATCAGACTCCAAACCCGTGGTCTCCCTAGGCTAGTGGCAATGCAATTAGAGGATTTGAAAATTGTTTTAGAGATTTTTAAAAAACCTATAAGATAAGCACGGTGAAAATGTTCATAGTTGTTTTTTAACAGGTAAAACCTCATTTGATTTGTAGATAGCTCATCATCAACACCACACATGCCTGGTTACATCTGGTCCTAATGTGACTTTAAATGAGACCTTACCGTACGATTAAGATTACTCAGGTGCTTTGCCTGACTCATGGATAAACAGCACAATCTATTATAATGTTAACACACACACATGCAATATGTGAAAATTGCAAGAGAATCTCGCAATACAGGACCGACTTTGTGTCATGATGATGAAAGTATGACTTAGAGCAGGTGCTTCTGCCAAGTTATGTTGCCAATTATTGTCACAGCTGGTACAGGCAAGTAACAGAAACAACCATAACATTGATCAGATAGCAATCTTTCCACAGATAGAAACTTAAGCATCACCACAAATAGAGTCTTTGATAGCATGTTAAACAATTGCACGAGTCTAGGAGATGGATATAAATTTTGATTTAAAGCTTTCGTGACTGCAGTAATTCATATTCTTAGTTCTTTCGGTAAAGTCACGTTGAAGGGAAACAATAAAATAATAAAATATATATAAAACAATAAAAATTATCACGAACGTTATGGTCGAAACGTTATGGTCGAAACGTTGTGAGAATTTTTATTGTTTTATATATATTTTATTATTTTATTGTTTCCCTTCAACGTGACTTTACCGAAACTAAGAATATGAGATGGATATAGTTTTACTTAATTATTGCGAAAATTAACGCGAATAAATTATAGCTTCTTGCAGCCCGAATAACTATTGAGAGAACCTTTCCGGCGATGTGTGAAGACTGGCATACTGCGAATAATTAAATTTTTTCTAAATACATATATTTTATTACATGTATTTAACATCCTAGTTAATTGGCACTGAATACCATTGAACTTTTTTTTTGTAAAAATGTAAAAAAATTAAAATTAACATCTGTGAAGTTTATTCCGAGTCACCGTCACTGTGAATGAAGCAGAGAGGGGTGAAGGCTCTGGCTCATACGCTGGATGCGAAAGGCTCAACAGATTTTCTGAAAGTGCCCGAAACATTGATGAAAGTTAGAGGAAACTCGAAACCTTGTGCCCTGTATCAATAAAGTTAAACAAATCTAGTCACAGACACACCTCCTGGATTAGAAGACGTGTCCCCCAGTACTGCTTTAAAATAAAAGGAGAAAAAACGTTTATTATAACCCGGAGAACACGGTAGGTAAATATACATATTTTTTTTTCCCACAAAATTCTTCACTCACTCAGGATTGTGGTTTGCACCACCGGCATGCGGAGGGGTCTTGGTGGGAACGGGTCCGCGGACGGCCTCGAACTTTCCCGTCGAGGAGACGGGCAGGAAGCCTGTAGCGGTGGGGACGGGCGGTGTGCATTAGTGGGGCAAGCTATGGGCGTGTCGCGACGCGCCCGAGAACCCAATTGCACAGCCCGTGAGGCCGTAGTGTTGTTATATATATAAAAAACGAAAGCGGTTAGAGAATAATCAAACCATTTTTGTCCCCCCTCCCCAAACCAAGCACTGACGCCTCAGTGTGACCGGCCGTAACGTGTAATGTTTGTACCGTACTGAGACACTGCACCGATCGTGAGATACATCGGGACAGGTTGAAAATGAAAGGCGGCAAGTGCCTCTCAGATTTGTTTGACTCATGCAGTCCAGGATTAAGTCATGGTTGAGCACTAAACACTAAAAAAACCTACCACTTTACCATAAATCATTCGTAACCCTCCTAGAATAAAGCCCATAACGCATTTTCAATTAAACAAATAACATAATTAGATTTTAAGTTATATTACAACTACCACTACCCATATTTGTCTTATGAAGGGGAAACAAACATTATAAATGTAGTTGTGATTTTAATGCTACGCTGTGACTAATGCAGTTTACCCTGACAAGCATTGGTGTGACGGCACATTGATACATATCGAATGTTAAGCTCACAATTCACGTATCGAATCGATTATGTAAGAACTGATGATCTTTTATTCGTATATATGATGTATGAAATGTCTTCCCATGACTTCTGTAACCACTGGAGACACTACCATTCACCATAATATAAAACAAATTCTTGAATCATATCACCAACCCTGAACGGAAACAATTGATCGAATTTGCCTGCGGCATGGCCGGATTTAGTGGGGGGAGGCAAGGGACATGTGGCTGTTTAGTCTTATAATAGTTATAATATGAACGTTATAAACAATGCTACCTTTAATAACTTGCTGTTTCATGAGGTTGAACCATTCTTCAATTGTTCCCGTCTGACATATTTTAACCCCTTCCATCTCAGCCTTGTGCTAAACTAGTGAGAGAGTTCAACATGAAGGTTAGGTAGGGATTTTTGCGTGTGTCTTTTTCCTTGTATGTGGGGAGCGGTAGTGTAGCGGTTAGCGCACTGTGCTACGAACCCAACGACCCAAATTCGATTCCCGCTCATGGCAAACAGCAGTGACGAATATCTGAACCGGTACTGGCCCTCCTCCTTCAGGTCGACTCAGCCTCAAATGAGTACCTGGTGCAGTGTGTAAACATCGCCACAAGGAAGTTGGGTGTGGTGCTAGCCACCCAGCCACCCACCCACCCACGTGTGTACCGTGCTGGCCTCCATAGGTACTCGCGAACAGCATTTGCCCCAACAGTCTGTTAAGCCTATACAAGGGAGCTTTGTCTGTATGTGTAGGGTGACAGGGCGGAGGAGAGGGGGAGGGAGTCTTTGATGGTCAGGTGTCCCTGGGGGTAAAATTCCCTCTCACACCCCAGAAATGTCTAGTTCATAGAGGCGGCATGGGAGGGAATTATTTCAGTTTAACTTCTACAGGCAAGCTTATCGGGACAAATCATTTTGATTTAAAGCTTTCGTGACTGCAGGGATTCATATTCTTGGTTCTTACGGGAAAGTCACGTAGAAGGAAACAATAAAATAATAAAAATATAAAACAAAATTCTCACGACGTTTCGACTGCAACACAAGCAATCATCATCAGGTGTGAAAACCACAGCAAGAAAACTAAGCAAGAAAACTTGCTGTGGTTTTCACACCTGATGATGATTGCTTGTGTTGCAGTCGAAACGTCGTGAGAATTTTATCGTTTTATATTTTTATTATATTATTGTTTCCCTTCTACGTGACTTTACCGAAAGAACCAAGAATATGGGACAAATCATGTTCATGCAATTTTTTTTACTGACAGCGTGAATTTAGCTCAAATAAAGCACCACGAGGTCTGTTCCGCCACACTGAACTCATTCACTCCTCCGGTCTGATGCCGATTAGATACATATCCACCCACCCGTGTGCCCATGAGTCATGACACTGAACACCTGCGTGGGACCGAGTCTGTAAACATCCCAGTACCTGAGCGACCTGGGTTCCCCGAATGGTCATTGGTTGAATGAGAGAAGCAGGCCGGGGCTGGACGGGAGGCGCGGGCCGGGCAGGGGGGAGGGCTCTTGGGCTTTGTTCTGGCTCCTTGCTGTCCAGAGCATTGCTCCTGCATGTGCAGAATCTACAGGGAGCAGAATTCGAGAGAGAAGAGCAAGGGACAAGTGGCAACGAGACCAGGAGGATGAAGGGGAGTCGGCTCTAAGAGGAATTTTGGAGTCGGCGCTGCTCGGTTAATGCAAATGCTTTTTTGGCTCATGAACAATGGACACACGCATTGAAGCAGTACAACACAGACATACGAGGCATACAGACATACATTGCATTAAAAATCGTGGTCGCCAGAGCATTGGCGCAAAACCCAGGCTACTTAAACAGCTCGTTGAACTCTACCAAACTTGCGTGCGAGGACGATTGTTTCAGGCTACGTTATCCAATTCGCGAAGCTCTTCCACATGCCTTGCAAAAGCACAAGCGGGGGTGGTGGGGGGGGGGGAGGGGGTGCCACGTCACGCAACACTAAATGCGCGTTTTCCCCTCTGCTTGTTGTGAGCCGATTACAAAAGTGGCATCTCCAATCGCTCGCACGCGCGGGGCAACGCTTTCTCCTTCTTGCGACACTCGCAGGTAGGGGCAAGCTCCACAGTTCCTGTTGCGGAATGCCTCACACCTGCGCAGACACGCCGCGGCACACCACGGGCGATGTGGGCGTGGGTTTCACGGTGGAGTGCACAGGTGGGTGCGGCACGAATTATACTGTGCAGAGATGACTCGTGGGCAGTCAACTTCCTGATTAGTCATAAACTACCCAACGCGGACAAACACCCTCGGGCATATGTCAGAATTTAAAGACTGGTGGCAACGACCATTACGCAATAGAAGAGGTTCATTTTCCATGGTGCATGTACGTAGATACGCATTGTACTGATAAAAAAACAAGCAGGAGGAGAACCAGGAAGCTAACCCACAAAACCACCCCAACCCCCGAAGAACAACCTTAACTCCTTGAGTCTCTTTATCAGCCAAATGAACACGGCGTCTCACCTGTCCATGCATAGCCTCCATGCGCAACATCATGCAGATCTCTTGGGTGAGGATCCCTGTCTGGCTCTGGTACTCGTTACAGTCCTGGTCAACGGTAAACAGAGACCAGCAACCTTGTCAGCCAAGAGCCTTGAAGCGAAACGCACAGCCTCATCCACCAGCTTATAATACCCGAAGACTGGAAAGGAGGGAGGGCCTTCCAAGATATAGTCCTGGCTTAGAGCCAAAGATGACCTTCTTTGAACTTCTTAGCCAACAGTGCTGATCGGAGGTGCGGGGGAAGGAGCAGCAGGGCACATGACATCATTGTTATGGCTGATTACAGCTCAAAAGAGCACAATTTTTAATGGCCGACAGCACAGCACATCCCAGCCCAGCGCAAAGTAGAAATGAACGCCACGGCCAGTTCTGTTGGCGTAGCGCTGTTGGCAATGGGCATGCTGCAAGGAACGAAATGGGGGTCCCACGTACAATTTCCTTGCTCTTTGTCTTCCAGCGCCTGAGTCCCACCATCCTAACGAGCCCCGTTACAGCGTGCACCGAATGCAAAACCTCAGTAGCTACAAAATCGAACGCAGCGCGCTGCCGCTTGCCCCGGCCGTGGCAACGTGCCGGCGGTACCTTCAGAACGGTGCTGATGGAGAGGCGCTTCTCGGCGTCGGGTTCGGTCATGCGCGCCAGCAGCTGCTGGAAGTGCTCGGTGAGCTGAGGGCCCTGGCTGCTCGGGAGGCACAGCGTGGCCGCGGCCAGCACCGTCTGGGCCACGCCGAATATACACGACTGTTGGGAGATAAAAAGAGGCGTTGATGATGTGGGTGCAGCTAAAACAAAGGGTTAGTCAGTAAGCCATCGGAATAAATAATATCCACGGGGTAAGAGTCAAGACTTCCATGAGGTTTGTTGCGATTGAGAAAAAAAGCGGCTGGTGGTCAAGACTAATGTCGGTGCGCTTGCCTGCCGAGGAACGTGACCGAGAGGACGTCCACGGTGGAGATCGAGCAATGAAATCAGCAGCTGTGCAGGTGCTCGATGGATTGCTACATCACGAGAAAGTGAGGCTTGATGATAGCTTGGGGGACGCCATCACCTCGCAGCGGATTGCTCACGGTTGAGGATGATGATGGTTAAGGTAAGTCCTTAGTTACAGGAGATTGCTTCCAATTTGACGGAATTATATATTTTTTATATCACGTGTAGCTAATCGAGGATTTGGCTTTTGGTTTGCGGTAGGTGCCAGCGGAGGGAGGAGCGATGCACACAACCGTTACCTTTTCTGAGATGATTCCCTGCTTTTCCAGCTCTGGGGCCAGAAAAAATTCATCCAGGTCGTCTGAGAAGGGGCGGAGGCATCCATTATTTTGCGAGTAGAGTACCATGTCGCATATCTCATTTGCTGGGGACTGAGGTACAGCACCAACAGCCTATGTAAAATATTCGTATTAGTGTTCATATTCCCGTTTTGGTGCTTGTGTAAAAGTGTATACGGCTGTGTGGCTAAGGCACCGTGATGTGCGTTCAATTCACAGCCAAAATAAGTGGCGATATATGAAGCGGTGCTGGGGTTCCCCAAGGTTGTGTAACACAGTGACGGCCTTCAGAGGTGTTCATTAACAGCAATTACAAATGCATCTCTGCATTTGTATGTGTTCGTGGATGTTGGTGTCACTTTCTGGGTAGCGGAAGTGTAGCGATTAGCGCGCTGCGCTACGAACCCGGCGACACGAGTTTGATTCCCGCACGCGGCCAACACCAGTGACGATAATCTGAACCGGCTCTGGGCCTCCCCTAGGTCGACTAAGCCTCAAATGAATACCTGCTGCGGTGTGTAAACATCGCCACTGGGGAGACAAAGCCGGCCGGGCGTGGTTGCTGGCCACCCAACCCCTCGTGTGCCACAGTGCCGGCCTTCAATAGGTGCTCACAAACAGCACTTGCTCCTACAGTCTGTTAATGCTATAAGGGGGCATCTTTGTCCTTGGGTGTAGCATTGTGGCTGTTCTGGGTCCTCACCTTGTGGACTCACGGGCATGAATCTGACGATCCCAGAAGGGACTATGGTGACCGTGTCAAGCGACACGTAAACTGCGGCAGAAAAGGGCACAACGCGCGCTCTGCGTCAGGGCCGCCGACAACGAGTTTTATTATTTCAAATGTTATAAAAAAACAAATGACATCAATAAAAACACGACGCAAATAATTGGTTCTCTTTTTACTTTCAAGGTATAGACTCAAGGATTTTATAAATGATGTTTAACACATTGCTGATGCTTAGAGTTCTCACATGCAGGTAGTTTGAACACGCTTCAGAGACGTAACCATTGCAGGCTAAACGTGTGATGGAAGGCAGAATTGGCAATGAAGACTAAACACATTGCACAATAAAATCATCAGACTAATTTATTTGGGTTTTGCTCAAACAAAATAATAATTTGCAAAAAAAGTGCTCAAAGAAGCATGGAGAGGTGCATGCTCGGGATGTAATTGACATGCAGAAAGCGGAACACATGGATGCAGGTGAAAGACATAATTTGAGCTGTAATGAAAAGTTGGCTTGGGCAGGAGGGTGATGATCATCGCCGGTGATCAAGACTAATGAGTGACAGCCAAGGGAGAGAACGCGCCGGAGAGGACATCCGTCGCAAAGATGGAGTGATTAAATCAGCTCCTGTGCAGGTGCTAGGTGGATTATTATATTGCAGGACTGTGAAGAAGTTCGAAGGCTTGGGAAGGACTTTATTCAGCAGTGGATTGATCCTGGCAGATGAGGACGATGGCAACGATGATGAATAACTCTCACGGGCCAGTCCTCACCTGGTCTCTGCTCCCGGTTCTTGAGAGCCATGACACACTCCCGCAGCACGGCCCACAGTGAAGGCTCTCCGATGTGGTGGGTCAAACCCCAGAGGATTTCGCGCAGAGACATTATCGTCTGAACGGGGAGGGCAAAGCACAACACCGTCTCAATCGCCGGCGAGGCTCGTCCATAACGGATTACTCTTTACAATACGGGGCAGCAGCGATGGGTCGTACACTGATCAGCAAACTTCCCATTGGCACAGCTTGATGAAGTGTACGTGTAAATATACACCGCGATGAGGGCATCCCCACTCCGTGTGAAATGGTATTTGACCATAGCTGACCACAATGGTCAGCTATGGTGAGGATGGGGAGCTTAAACAGCTCGCTCTGCGTGGTTGTCGCCCATCCAAGCACTGTCAAGGTAGATTCCTGCTTAGATTCCGAGATCTGATGAGCTCGGGCACATTCTGGTTGATTTGGTCACAGGCCTTATGGGCATATAAGTGAAAATTGTTGGAAAGTTGGCCTAGTCTGCAAAAATAAATATTTTATCATACAATATTGTTTCACAGTTGACATAAGCTCAAATGTCCACACACGTGCAGATGAATGACGATGCCTGTCCACTGCACACATTGTGGCTTTCAGACCCCTCCAGGGATCTTTACAAAGACGGCCACCGCATCGCGCGCTTTCAGATGCGCTTCTGTGGCCGTCTGGAACGTTCTTCCTTCCAATACAAGGTAAGCCACTGGAGATTTACACCTTTAAATCTAAATTGAAAACACATTTATTTAGAACTGCTTTTTTGTGTTTAGTTTCCTGTCCTTCCTGCCGTACCTCCGATTAGCACGGTTTGCTACGTACAGTGTGAAAGAAGTTCAACATAAATACATACTACAGAACTGACACATGAAGGGTCTGGGTTAACCACTTAGGGTCCCGACCGCAACTGCCAACATACCTGGCAGCCACAGGTGGGGGCTATTTCATACTTATGGACACATTTATGTGGATGAGTCATTGACAAGCCATTGTGTATGAGCCGTACATCATGGGGGCATCGATTAAAGCTGCAATGATAATCATCTGCGGGTTGGGGAAGTGGGTGGTGACACTGATGACCATCAACTTCACTGCTATCATCAGCGGATGAACGACTGGCCGAATCCTCACTCAGATATATCTGACACAGAACACAAACATGCATGGCCAGATTTCAGCGGGTGGCATATAGGACATTTGTCCCCTCCTGAGTCCAAAACTCCAGCGGGGCCCACCAAAAACAATACATTATCGTCAACTCCTGAACAATGCATTACAATACTGTACATTTAATTATTTCAAGCAAAACTTAGTGTCGTTTCAGAATAAATTGATCAACCCAACCCGGAAAACCGCACTTGAAATACATTTTACAAAACGTATTTGGAAGAGTGGGACTGTGTATTCATAGTGTAAGTGGAGAGGGGGGGAGGTGGGGGGGTAATCTCTTCTGCTTTGGTGTTCCAGGAGAAAGATTGCTAAATCTGGCCTTGTACACGTGTAAGTGCATTTCAAGCATACAAGTCGAACACTGGATTAATAATAATGGTGATATCGGTTCTGGTGACATAGGCCATGGTGTTGTGAGTGTGCAGGCCAGCACGAACGGCTGTGTCCATGCTCGCACTCAAACCGCTCTCAATGGTTGCAACAAAAACAACGCTACCGCTACCGACATAAATTATGGAGAGGTCTCAATTGTATGCGTGTGAATATGGTCTTTACGGCATATTTAAATAACATCAGTGACATTGCACTGATGGTTTTTAACTGGCAAACATTAAAATAAATTATTACAAATATCCTCAAGATAGCAAACTATGCTGATAAACCTCCTTAGTCTCTTGCAGAAGGCTCAATATGTGACACAATAACCTTGCAATTACCACAGTTCACCGTGTTGGTGAACGGAGTGCAGGAAATTTGATTCAGGTTGTCGAGTTTATAGCGCAGTGCGATGACCAAAATTATACTAATTTAAATGTATAACACGCCACAGAGTATTCGCTCACTCTCAAAAAGAGAGAACAACTCCGAGACACGAGGAACCACAGACAAGCGGGAGGCAGCCATGTGATGCGCTGGTGCCAAAGGCCCAGGCTCTGTGGTCCTCTTTATATGAGATCTTTTCAGCTGGTAAATTAGTGTTTTCATGTCGGAGAAAACCAAAACACCCAGAAAAACTCATGTGTGGGAGTGGGCAACACTATCTTATACAGATGGAGCATATGGACCTCACATTTAACAACATTTGTGATCCACCAAACCCTCGACCTCCACAGTGCTGGATTATAGGCACGTGCCACAACTGACCACTACTGATTACCCATTGTGCAGTGCATGAAAACGAAACATTGACTGAGAGCAAGCCATTGTTGGAAGATTTCGCAACCCCCTATGTATTAGCCATTTATGCCAAAATTCAGCCAGTTGCCCTGTCAGGCTTCACCCTACAAATGAATAAATCACCATGAACGCGCCCGGTCTTGTCAAACCTCACAAGCCGAACAAAGTTGGGTCTGGCAATAAAACTTGGATGGGATAATATATGGAAATAACAAGCATGACAGGCTTGGACAGTGAGGTGGTCATTGGATATATCTGTACGGAGCTTTAAGTGTTTTCCTTGTACGTGGGCTTCTCCTCTGTCTTCTTGCACATGCCACTCTTCAAGGGAAATAGCTAACGATATTATTCACTATTTTTTTTATTTTACCAGGTAAGGCCCACTGAGCTGTATAGCTCTTTTTCAGAAGGGACCTAGCCACAAAGGATAGCTCAGCGAAGCGGCTTATCACGTGGAAATGTAAAGCAGCCAAATACCGCAAACGTATGTTGATTCTAAATATTGGAGGGAGACACGCAAACTCCAAATATACAGGTTGGGATCATGTCCACGACCTCCTTCATAGCAGGCGATGTAGTTGACATCTTGCCACCTCTCTATCGAAGACCCACCTGAAAACGAGTCTTGAGACTCAATGCGGATTTGCCGCATAGAGGAACATGAATTGTCGTGAACCCTATCGTGGAGCTTTCACTGGTGCCAAACCAGGAGGCATTTGCCACCGTGTTACCATCCGCCTGAGCTGCAGCCGGCAACTACAAACACGCACAGCACAGCGCTTCACAGCTCGGGGCAGCCCTGCCTGCCTGGGACTGTAATTCAAAAGCAACAACAATAACTTGCAGCTCACAAAGAAAACAATTATAAAATATACATCTACATTGTGTCCCTCCTTCAAAGCAATAAAGGAAATGTCACTGTACACTTAAAGTATTTAACACGTTGATGCAGCAATGCACATACAGCTGGGGCTACCTGTGCCTTTTTTTGTACCCATACCTCTTACACTTTACTATCCTTTCGTCCTAGATAAGGCAGCTGGGCGATTCGAATACATTTCTGGCCGGTCAGGTAGTAAGTAGCGCCTTTCAACATCGTGTGAATAGCGACAAGGACAAAAATCGCACGGTGCGAAGTGCGTGCGCTACAACTCGCACAGCACGCGTGCATTATAAAGGTGCGGATCAGTTTCGCTGCGGGAGTTTGTGCCACAAGCTAATCTCCGGCAATGGGGTTTTCTGGAACGACAAAATGCTTCTTCTACGCTGTTTCCCTCCAGGTCCCGCGAGCGTGGGTCTGGACAAAAGTGACATTTCCAGTTCTTTATTGTTATTGCAGCGGAGCGGTGGCTGCCCCGTGCAGGTGGTGCACGCGACCTGCAGTGTGCCACGAGACTCACCGAATACAGTAAACTCTGCAGCGGTAAAAACCTGTCAACTTCCCCGCCGCTTCTGCTGCCAACCCTCTGATTACTATAGAGTGGCTTTTAACGTGACACTACAAGAGACTCGCAAACCCTTAAACCCACGCCGATCTCACTCATCCCGTCTGCCATCTTTGAGAATGGGAGCGTCTCTAATTTGAATATGATCAAACAGGTTTGAGAAAGGTTCAACTTCCCACTTGACCGAGAATCGCAACGAAAATAAAAAATAGCCATTTTTGTTCGAGAGAATTCGATAACAAAAAAGTTAAAATCCAACCCATAAACGTTTCAAGAGCCGCAATGCACGTGGTGAATACGAGACGGTGGTTCCTTCGTGAGTAACTTCACGAAGCAGTCCTTCTTAAAGAGCCGCATCCGCCTCCGGAGCCGCGGATTGCCGAACCCTGTGGCTCTAAATTGAAGGCCGCCTGCCAAAGCCGTCAGCATCTCTCACGCTCCTGAGATGTAACAAAGCCACTCAAGGTACCTGCACACCAGCTGACTTCATCGGCGTAATTTCGCGGTGAACGTCGATGTCATGGTACTTAATGGGAAAAAAAAATATCATGATAGGAACTTCCTAATAATAATAATAAAAAAACAATGCTTACAAATGGTCCCCAAAAATAAAAAGCAACAGAAAAGACGTACAAAAAGCGAATGGTCGTGTTGATTTTTTATATTCTCAATCACAACGAGGTCCTAAGGACCTAAGGTATGGTAAGATTTGAGGCCTGGCTTTTTGCAGTGTAACATGTTTAAGCTACCCCCATTTCTATAAAAGCATTTAATCCACTTGGATTTGCAAATTTAAAAAAAAACTGCATAGGCTTAGCAAATGCATTGCTACAGTTGGCTGGCTTACAGTTCGTCAGAAAACTATGCTACAGTGCACTAACTATGTCAGGTAAAGGAAAGGTGGTGAGTGTTGCAAAAGTTCACACAACACACACAACCGCGCAGTTTAAACAAATACATGTACCACACGACAAAAGCAGATTCGTGTAAGCGACACAATTTAATGAACAGCCTGCTTAGTCTGCTCGTTCGCCACTGAACCAGCTCGCACAGAAGGGGCAGTTCAATTCCTAGCCCACCCAAGTAATTTCTACAAGAAAGTGGACATACAGATGTATCGAGATAAACTCCCAACATTTTCCTTTCAAATGTGTTAAAATCACTACCTATCCTGTTGCAAGTAAAGCCTCCCAGGTGTTCTTTGCAAGATGTAATGCGTCTGAAAAGGTGCCTCAAACGGGTTAAGTAAATAACATGAATCAACAAACGCTTACGTTCTGCCGGCGAGCCAGTGGTGGTCTGGTCCGGCCCAGACCACCATTCGTGATGGGCAGCATGACGAAGAGTTCACCAGGGAAGATCGGCAGCCTTCAGCAGGATGGCCCCCGTGTACCCAAACTACCCCACCGGTGTCTCCCTGCAGCACAGCTGTTGCACGCAATAAGATCAACAGTAAATGGATGACTTTCAAACGAACAACGAAATAAACGAATTCTTCAAAGCCGGGACTCAAGCTGTACGCAGGTCGCAAGATGCAGCCATGGTCGAACGGGGGGGTGGGGGTGGTGGTGGTGGTTAGGCAGCGTCGTGAAGATGAGCGTGCGAGTGTGCGCTGTGTCATGTGTTCCAGGACGTGTCCGGGAGGACTCCGGGAACCGCCGACGTTTGCGAGGGTGCGGCTCGTTGAGCTCCCGCGTAACAAACCCACAAAGCGCTCATGGTCGGCCCGCCCGCCCGCACCTGCCTGTCCAGACAGGCCAGGACGAGCTATGGGCTTCAACGTGGTCTCACAACAGCCCTGAGGAATGATGAGCCCGGTTGGGTTGGGCTAGGCTGAGTTAGGGGAGGTTTGAAAACAACATCCCCCCCCCCCACAAAAAAAAAATCGGGGAACTAATAAAGTACTTAAATAATAAATGATGTTAACGATGGGTACTGCAAATATTAGCTTAAAAACAAAAACAAGCTCACCGAATTAGATGTTAAAACGTTACAGCGTCAGTAAGGCAGTGAACCGCGTTATAGACTTTGTCGTAGTCTTCTGCCCGGGGCAACTCAATACGACACAAAGTATACGACGCAGCTAAGTTTTATGATCAGCCCAAGTGATAACATATCGGCCAAGAGACGTTTCGTTTTTCAGAAGCCGGGGAGTCATCCTCATCATTTAATCTCGCTGGTGCATTTAAAAATAGCACAGTCTTGTTATGCCAGCGATGGTCAATGGTTGCATGAAAGAAATACAACCTTGCAAGCTCGGGCCCACTGGAATCGCCGGTGCTCTGCGTGCATTCATACGGTGCCCCTATGAAATGACATCACACGACAGTTGTGGAAGAACCAGTTTCATTATGTGTGAGCAATCGCGAAAGCATAATTTATTATGAGAGGGGAGGCGGGAAACCGATGCAGCTTTAGCTGCTGGCAAGTGCCGATTCCAACTACCCATGAGTTCTCACGCGTGTTTGTGGCGAGAGCTGTGTTGGTGTTGACGTGCGTGACCCCACCGATACCATCGCAGCCTCCCCCGCAGTATCAGGGACTGAACACTCATCAGCCGTCCCTCATGTTACGAACATAAAAAAAATTGTTTGGGTTTCGAGAACTGAAAGAAAAAAAGGTATTGTCTCGGGTGTCAATGAGCAACAGCATCTTAACGAGAGCAGGAAGCCTCCCCTCCTCTCGTGGCGACCGCAGAAATGCCTTTGCATGGGGTGCCATGGTCAAGGTGAGAGTATTGGGCAAGTGAGTCTACAGGGCTCACTGCCGTTCCAGCGAGGATGGTGAGGCGAGTGTGCCCAGGTGCTGAGATCATAATTGCTAAGTCAGAAATGCAGAAATTGTGCAAGCTCACATTTACTTTGACGATGTTTGCTAATATTAGACGCCAGTAAAAATATCACACCAATTGATTGCAGCATGGATGTGTTTTGGATGAAATTCAAAGGGTTAAAATGGTCGTGCTCGAAAAAAAAAATCACGATTTTTTTCATATTACAAAACTTTATTTGACTATGTGGCAGGAAAAAAATGCTATTGTGTTTTGGATTTACTTACACCGCTTGATTTAATGCGTCCCCAAATATATTTTTCTTACATGCAAAATACCCCCGGAACCTTAACCAGAGACCCTCCGCTTCCAACTGGGCAAGATGAAGCAGTGCCGTGCAGAAAGATAACATCATAAACTCTGCGATGAGCCAGACCTTTGGGACACACAGAACTCACCTCATTAGTCACACTCGACTTGTTGATGTCCAACCAAACACTGCAATGCGGTGTACCACTAGAACCCTCAAGTCGACCCCAACACCTCGGCTGCCCGTGCTGTCACACATCTCTCCCCCACCCATCCTCTGCAACCCTCCAGGAAGTCGTGCGAATCGAGGAAAGCAGTCAGTCGCCTTTCCATTCATCAGGACCTCAATAACGTCCCTCGTCATCGCTTGAAGTCACGGAAGCCCTTTTGGACCCATGCGCTTAACCTTAAACAATGCAACCCTGATGAAGGTTGAAGAGCTGAATGGAGTTTAAAAGAATTCACAAACATATTGTGAAAGAGCCAACGCAGACGATCCCTGGGTATGATCTTCCACGAAGTTCATGAACCAACCTAAATCGTGTCTGCACAAACCATGGTGCCCAAATGGAAAATTAAAACTCTCCAGTGTGCGACTGTGGTCATCCAGAACAGACCATTTACTGCTATATTTACCCAATAATGTCAGTGTGTAACGCGCGTGATGTCACACTCCACGTAGAGCAGCCCCACCCCCCCCTCTCATTAATAATCATGAACAGTAAAGTCACCTAGATAGGTTCAAAGAAAATGACCAAAAAATTACAAAAAACTACGACGTTTCGATCGCAACACAAGCGATAGTCAAAAACTATGACGAAACGTCGTGGTTTTTTGTTTGTTATTTTCTTTGAACCTCATTAATAATCATGAACAGGTGACGTCATTCGACAATGAACAGCCCCCCTCATTAATAATCATGAACAGGTGACGTCCTCCAAATGAACACCCTTCACCCTTAATATTAATTAGTGGCTGACGTCACTCCACGTGGGGGGCGGGGCGCCTCCTCCCCCCTCCGCGGCGTCAGCTGACAACCCTCACTACAAAAGGCAGAACCCTCACGTCATCACGTGATCTCTGTGACGCTGTTGAGACATCAAAGTAAAAAGGGCGTCTTGGGGAACAAGGAAACGTCGTGATTTATTTCATTTTATACCAACGTGACTTTACCGAAAGAACCAAAGAGTAAGGGATGAAAACCTTTTAATGAAATGAGTCTGTGTCACCGCGGCCTTACAAATTGCACTCGAATTGATGCAATGGATATCACGTCGCGGTCTGCTTTTCGCCTGCGAGTTTAAGATTTACTGCAATACAGCCGTCCTTGGACGGGCAAAAGGCTAGTACAACATATAACGATGCAATGCCCAATCCACAAATACGAAGGAGACATCAGAGCGATACACTCCGCTGATCCTGACGCGGTTGTCTGGCTTGGCCATGTAAATGCGAAATTGTAGTTGTTGCTCTGCATCTACATCAGCCATGCGAAAGACGAAGACTATGAAATAAATACTTGAATTCAGGCTCACATCCCCACCTGTACTGTCATAATACTCGAAGTGAGAAATCAATCAAGCTGGTGTAGCATTTCACTCAAAAGCTCACCACCATGGGCCATGATATGGCCTAGCTAAAGCACGTTCGCTGCTTGTTAGAGGTTCACGGTTGCGATTCAAGTGGCTGCCCTGATTACTACTGCGCGTGTAATAGCCATAATAATACGTGTTGGGTGCTTCAAAGTGAATGTTAAACATTCGCTGACGTCATTCGCAAGCATAGGCCATTGTTACTCAACGTCAAGCTAAAAAATAGCTATGCAGTATTCGAAAATGACCACAAACCATTCAATTTTAATTTTATATATAGCAATCATTCCACTCTCCTGGCAAACTAATGTCCCAGGTCACTCTGGCAAATTAGGCTGTTATTGGCTCGTTTTCAGTTTTAACCTTGTAAAACATCATAAACTTAAACACCGGGAAATTCAACTCCCTCACTCTCCACAGAAAACATGTGCACCTGTACGTTATGCAAAGGTTGGCCATAAGCCTAATCAGTTGTTTGCTTCCCTACTGCTGACAAAAAGACCTACTTGAATAATGCACGAGTGAATCATTCATGCTGAGGGGTGTGAGAGGCAGGTAGCACACGACTGCATTGCTTCCGAAGCCAAACCATGAAATAATGGGATGGGTGCAGCTTTAAAGCCAATGATGATCTCGGGAAAACGGATGCATTGTTCCTCGACTTCAATGAGGATTTTCTTTTTACCTCCAGCTAGCTATGCACCTAACTATCTATTGATAGGTTTACCAGAGTTAGTGAAAATCCCTCAGTACATTAGAGTATCTGAAATTCAAATACAGTACCATCTACAGTTTAAATACTTCATGGTAAAATGTCCTGTGAGGTGGAGTGGTGGCACAGTGGTTAGCATGCTGCGTACTACCAACCCGGCGACCTGAGATAGAAGCTCGGACATGGTTAACATCAGTCACGAGTAATATATGAACTCGTTCTAAACCTCACCTTCACCAACCCCACAGCATTCAACCTGAAGTGGATTAACAAGGGGTGTGAATATATGTAAAAGGCCCTTTATAAGGGTCAGTCACGCATTGAGATATTTGGCCAATTAAATTGCATGTGGCCGGGTTTGTTGCCTACAATAAAATTCACCATGAATGTGCCTGATCTTGTCAGATCTTGGAAGCTAAGTCGGATTGAGCCTCGTTAGGGTCTGGGTGGGAGACTGTCTGAGAATACCAGGTGTTGTGGGGCAGGAATGACCCAGGTGACCAGGATATGGTAGTGCAGCAGTGGACGTGTGGCGCTTTAATTGACATCCCTTGTATGCGTTGGTTTCCTCTAGGTAATCCATTTTACTCCCACATGGCAGTTATTGATGGAATTGGCGAAAAGGAACAGCGTATTGGGACCATCTTGAAAAAAGAGTATTGAGACTCGGTGAGGCTTTTCTGGATATACAAAGGCAATTATTATTACTGTATGCTTGTGTCAACACAATGCCTCTCCTGCAAAGGAGAGCTGAGTAGCTGGTTTGGATCGTGTTTTCCCAGGTCCTAAAAGTTGGGACAGATCAACACTAGCATTTGATTGACGTATGAACACTCCCATTATCCCGAGGACTCTCACAGAGAGAATGATAACAGCTACACAATTAAACAATAAGCACACACTGTATGAACGGTTCATACTTGCCAGCATTTTTTTTATACCACAGGTTAATGCACACATGATACCTTGTAAAAGGATTCAGTTTGGCGTTTTAACATCTTAACACCTGTTTTGTTGCCAGAAAAAAGGGGAAAACCTATTCTCATATCCGGCAATGGTTCACTGTACAAGCGAAGGGTCAGATGTGACGAAAAAATATATCTGTCAAGTCATAATTTAGCAGACTCGCGTATTTGGTGTGAGAGGCTTTAAGCCTCGCGCATTTAGTGTGTGTCTGAAAAAACATTCCACGTGTGTCAGATTTGGTCACCGCCATCTTCAGCCATGGCCAAAACCTTCTTGCTGCACGCACGAAGGCTAACCCCACGCCACGGATATCTCTCACGGTGCTGCGATGCAACGAATGTCACGATCCACCCCTCGCACCTGGCACACGAGGCGATTCCATCGCTCCATCTCCACTGGGAAAACCGAACCACGTGGATCGTTGCACGGCCTAGGGGCCGTCCATAAATGACGTCACGCGATTTTTGACGATTTTTGACCCCCCCCCTCGTCACACAAAGTTAGACCCCCCCCTCAAATATGACGTCACAAAGCTCTGCCCCCTCCCCCAAAAAAGTGCTTCAAATCGCTTTAAACTATTGTCATTGTAGTGCGTATTTATTGTGGCGCTGCACTCTGTTGTAGGAAAAAAACATTAATTAAAAAGTCTATTAAATTAAGTAGAACGTGTTGTCTATATTTATTTAAATTTTCGCATTTTGATGTGACGTCACATTTCTCCCCCCCCCTCGTCACACGGCGTCACAAAAAGTCAGACCCCCCCTCAAATATGACGTCACAAAGCTCTGCCCCCCCACCCCCCCCCCAAAAATCAAACGTGCTTCAAATCTCTTTAAACTATTGTCATTGTAGTGCGTATTTAATGTGGCGCTGCACTCTGATGTTGATGGAGAAAACATTTATTAAAAAGTCTATTTAATTAAGTAGAACGTGTTGTCTATATTTATTTAAATTTTCGCATATTTATGTGACGTCACATTTATCAACCCCCCTCCCCTCTCGTCACACATCGTCACAAATGTCTGACTCCCCCCCCCCTCAATGCCCTAAGTGCGTGACGTCATTTATGGACGGCCCCCTTTACGTGACACTAACCTGAACACAAATCGCTCGCACCTTCGCAAAAGCGAAGCGCAGGAAAAATGCTCAATTCGTGTCTCAGTGCCCATTCCAATGTCAGATAACGTCGCTGCTGGTTTGACCATACTTCACCACCCCTGGTC